AGACGAGCGAAGGAAGCGGCCTTCTACTGAAACAGGCCATTGGGCCATCTACCTCAATACCTCAGTCTACCTCAAAGGCTCTCCAGGGTTTCAGACAGGGGATACTCTCAGCCATACCTGGAGGGAGATGCTGGGGGTTTAATCTGGGACCTTCTGCATGCAGAGCAAATGCTCTGCCACTGAGCTATGGCCCTTGGATGCTGAGGCTTGTGTGTGTGTGTGTGTGTGTGTGTGTGTGTGTGTTAAACACAGAAAGCATTAGTTGGTTGCGCCTTATTTGTAGGCTGATGTCTTGAAAGTCCAGGTTTGGCTGTCCGGTGGAACAAATCCTCCAAAAACAGTTTTTTCATTCTGGTGCGGCCTGAACTCTCATGCCATCTCTATTGGATTTGGAAGAAGATTCCATTTTATCTGCTTTCAATGATGGGTCGTGGGTTTCTTTAAAAAACAAACAAAACATTTTTTGATTGGTGTTTTGAAAAGGCCTTTTCCATTGCTGAAGCTGTTATACACCATTTCCTGTTTTCTAACTGAAGCCAGTGTCTGCCTTCCTGCCTGTCTTTCTTTTCTCTCCTCCTTCCACCCCCCTTTTTTCTCTCATTATTGGAGTGAGGCTGGTCCTAAACCAAACAAAAGCCATGCAATCCCTTAAAAACAAGGGCTATGTTTGTTGGGGAATTTAGAATCTTGGTGCTTGCTTTGGTCTTGCTGGCTGAGAAGCAAAGCGCTCAGGTAAAAGATATCTTTTTAATGGACAAATGGATGCTTAAAGTCCTGGAAGTGAGAGATTGTTGACTCACACAGAAGTCTTCTTGAGCCATAGGTGTTGAGAAGAAAACTTAGAATTCATGCTGCGCGTGTAGGCGTCTTGTTAGCCTCTTTGAGTTATCCGTGCTCTTTGATGTCAAAAGGAGAAGACGGGATTAAGCAATAATGCTACTTAGTGTTTACACAGTCTTTCCAGAGCCTTCAAAGCATCTCAAAACATATTAACTGAGTAATCCTTGCAACAGCTGCCTTCAATAAGTTGGTGTTATTTACCCTCTCTTGTTTGTTTGCTTTTTGTAAAAATTCGACATCGCACCCGTCATTTCAATTAGGCGTCTTACAAGTATAGAATAGAACAGTTCTTCGCAGTTACAATATATGGAACCAGTGTGGCACAGAGCTGGGGAGCGAGGCAGTTCTGGGTCCAGATTGCTACTCAGATGTGAAACTCACTGGAAGACCCTCAGCTGAAACTCCCTGTGACCAGCACAAACTACCTCTCAGGCTTGTTTTGAGGACACAGTAGGAATCAGTAGCCATTAACACTTAAAAGCTGTGAAACATTGAGAAACCATGGCAAATAAAAAGGCCCTTGTTTGCCAAGGATTCATTACCAGGCATGTCTCTCTGTGGGGAGAGTTCCGTGACTGTAGTGCCACCACCGAAAAGGCCCTTTCTTCGGTTGCAACTCTTGTCACCTCAAACGGACAGAGGCCTCCGAAGATAATCTCAATACTTGGGCAGGTTCATTTAGGCATAGATGACATTCCTTAGGTAACCTGGGTCCTAAACCAGCAAACAGGCAGCTAACCAGTGACAGTATTTAAGAACCGTTCTGGTATGTTCTTTCAAAACTGGTCTCAGCCAATGCTCTAGCAGCTATATCATGGCCCTCCTGGATTTTCCAAATAACCTCCTACAATGCATAAGAAGAGCCCTGTTGAATCAGGCCAGTGGCCCATCCATCTAGCCTGCATCCTGTCCTCACAGTGGACAACCGGATACCTGTAGGAAGCTCACAATCAGAACCTGACTACTACAGCATCACTCTCTGCTTGAGATTCTCAGCAACTGGCGTTCAGAAAGATATTGCCTTCCCAATGGCTATGCTTAATCTGGCCCAAGCTTGCTCTGTTCAGGAAGGGTTGAAGATAAGAGAAGTGTGTGTCGTCAGGCCACTTAGTAAGTTCATGACTAAGGTAAAATGGTAAATTTCACGATGTTAGCCGCAGCACCAAGCAACTTTCTTCCAGCATTCTTGGGTCTAGTTCTCACTGAGGCGATAAACCTCCATCTGGGTTGTACCATTTCAGTCAGGTGGGGGCCTGCGTGACAGAATGCCTCTCCTTATAAAAAGCATTTCCTTTACATGGAAAACTTGCATGTCAAAAGACAAGGATTTCAGCCTAGCCTTTTCTGTGTAGGTTTTTGGGGTTATGCGTGCATGAGAGAGAGAGTTCCATCCTTTGAGACCCCACGTGGTTCAGCACAGATTCATGTTCAGCACATTGAGGCAGGAGGGCTGTTTGTAAAATTAGCTTTTATTCAAGATTTTCTTGTGTAACAAACAAACAAAGGGGTTAAATCGGCAGAAGGGCTTCTTGAGAGTAAGAGTAAAGTTCCTCAAACGCTGTGTTCAGATCATGTTGTGGGGGGGCAGGGACACAAGGTGTGCGAAAGGCAGATGCAAAAAAGAGCAAAATTTCTTCCTCGTCACTGTTACTTGTGGGGTAAAAGTGTGTTTTCCTTTTGCTCCAACTTGTTTTTGCAGACTGAAGGATCTCATTTGAATCCTAAGAATGGCAACGTTGTAAATTCCTAGTCCTCAATGTTCCAGATGCTACTGAATATTTTAAAGCAGCAATGCCCAGTGTAGTTGTTCTTTGTTCCAGTTATTTATTTGGGGGGGGGGCTATGTTTTTCACCCAGCAATGTCTCTCCCAGATTAAAATTCACGATTTGTATCATTGATAGGAGTTCAATATTAACGAAAGGTTCCGTGGTTTCAGAAAAGAAGTAAGTTTCGGATTGAAACTGGCTTGACAGCAAGTGTAGTTTTTAGCAACTCTTGGCGCAATGTGTTCAGCGAGGGTAGCCAACATGGTGCAGTCTGGAAACTGACAGGCTCCCATCAGCCAGCCAGCATGGTCTAATTTAGGGAAGTTTTTAATGTTTAATGTTTTATCGTGTTTTTAATATTCTGTTGGGAGCTGCCCAGAGAGGCTAGGGAAACCCAGCCAGATGGGTGGGGTATAAGTAATTAATAATAATAATAATAATAATAATAATAATAATAATGGCCAGGGATGGTGGGAGTTGCTGTCTAGCAACATCTGGAGGCATTATGCAGGCCACCCCAGGTTTAAGGCCACAGTCAAAGCATCTTTGCTTAGTAGCCTCCACTACTCTCCCAAGTCATTGCATCCTTGGAATCAGGGTAGCAAACTTAGACTCAGGATAAAACACCTATGGAAGCCACAGCAGACAAACAGCCCAGCCATGTTCACGTTTACTTGAAAGTAAGTCCCACAAAATTCAGTGGTGCTTACTTCCGAGGAAGTGTGTTTATAGAAGGATTGATGCTTCAGACAGGCCTGGTTGAAAGAAGGATTGCTAGCTACAGCTGTATAACTTTGCATTCTCGCTTTGGAATGTAGTGCTTGAAATGGGGCTGATAAGACTTCCCTCAGGGGTTACAGTCAGAATTGTAGGTATGTGCTGTGCTCCTCGAGACACTTAGGACTGAATTCAGAGAGACATGGAGATGCAGAATTACGTAGCAAGTTACCAAGATTTGCATGTGTCATCCAGGGGGCTCAGAGCTTTTCCTCCTGAAGACTGCAGGGCTTGCCATAATTTTTGTAGCCGTTCCGCTATCGCTGCCAACGCTTTCAGCTTCCCTCCTGCAGTTAACTGTGTCGCTGCCGCTCGGGCAGCTGCTTGGAACGGATAGAATTAAACAGACTTGCAAATCATCTTTTGTCCTCCGATATACTATTAGAGGTCTGTGGCTTGACAAGTGCCATAAATATCTGCCGATTCATACTAAATATGACCGAGTTCATCAGTCATAAGAACATAATAAGGAGACTGCTGAATCAGACCAAATTGGGTCCACCTATCCCAGCATCCTGTTCTTATACTAACCAATTGGATACCCATGGGAAACTCAAAAGAAGGACTTGAGTCCAGTAGTACTCTTCCCACTTTTGATGGTCGGCAACAGGTATTCAGAGGCAATAATGCCTTACCTCTGACAGTGGAGGTAGACCATTGCCCTGTGGCTAAACAACCACTGATATAGCCTTATCCTGCATTAATTTATCTAATCTCCATGTTTTTTAAAAAAACATCCAAGTTGGTGGCTATCACTGTGATAGACACCCACTATTTGTGCTTTCCAGAAGCAATTAAAAACATATTTCTTTGGAATGGAGGTCTTTCGTGGACTACTTAAAAAAGCATTAGAGTCAGATGAAATTGCGAGTGGATTTGAGATAAAAGCAAGTGGAAGAAAAACGACAAGATAATCGTAATAGAGGATTTTTGGTTGTAGATAAAGATAAAATGCAGAAGAAAAGGTTTGAACAAAAGCACAGTGGAGGTGAGAGTGGGAAGTCAACTCGTGAAATAATGTAATTGTTTGATTTGAAGGTTATTGTGAAAATGTTTGAAAAATTTAATTGCACACACACACACATTTTTCTTTCAACGGGCTTTTCCAGCTAGATGAAAATATCTCTCCCGTAGATGTTTGCTTTGTGTGGCTTTTAAACCTAGCTTGTTATTTTTTGTACTTAAAAACAACCACCACCTAGTTGACCTGTTTTTATGATACGTTTGTAAATTGCCTTGACACACGCAAAGAAAGGTGATTCATAAATTAATAAAAGTGCAATAGTAAAAAATCTTACAGGAGTGAATGTCCGCAGGCACTTGCAAAGGTAAATACTTACAGCCTTGGTCATGTGGCTGATTCAGATGTGCCTCATTCTGAGTGTCCACAGCCAATGACTCAGGACTCAGCTTGGTGTGAGACAGAATGGGAGGTGAGAATACCTGTGGTGTCCAGTGATATGGCTCCCAAATATGTTTTCCCTCAGGTGAAAAGTGTCTTACACACACACACACACACACACACAGAGAGAGAGAGAGAGAGAGAGAGAGAACAAAGAGCTCATTGTCTTTGGGGTTTCCCATCCTCACACATTTCTTTTCTTTCTTTCTTTTAGGAAAAAGAGAAAGATAAGGATAAAACAAAAGAGAAGGACAAAGACTCCAAGGAAAAGGACAAGAAGATGATCAACGGGCACCTCTTCAGTGCCACTCCGACAGTGGGGCCTGTCCATTGTTGCCATTGTTTGAAGCCTTTTAACAAGGACTCCTTTGCCTGTGCAAGTGAGTGGCATTTTTCTGCCCTGTGTTCCATTGCGGACAGACGTGTGGAGCATTATTTTCCAATCAAAATGTAGATGGGTGATGGTGAAATTAACAAAAGTGGCTGCCATTTTGGTCCCAGAGAGCAATTTAATAGACTCCAAATTGGTTCTGACAATAAGGCCAATTTGAACACCCGGGACAAGCCAAATTTATTTATTTTATATCTTGCCTTTACGTGTTATCCACCCAACAACCTTGTGATGTAGGTTAGGGTGAGAGTTGGTGACTGGCTGCAAGGTGACCCATTGAGCTCCATGGATGATTTGGGAGATTTGAATCCAGTCTTCACCCAGTGCTAAGTGTTGTACAAAGTAAACACTAGCAAAGAAACAAGGACAAAAAAAAGTCATTAAAAAAAATCCAGTGTGCTGTGGCGGAGTTAGAGAGTGTTGGACTTAGACCAGGGAAATCTGGGTTCAAATTAATGGATGGCCTTGAGTCAGTCTTAGCTTGCAAGGTTGTGGATATAAAAATGGGAGTGCTGTTCTTTGTTAGAGTCCTGGTGTGTGTGCCCACCCCAGAAGTTGAAATCAGGAGGTGTTTGAATGGTTCATACACCCTTTGCCCTTGGTGTATGACATCATTGCAAAAAACGAAAATCGGTTTTGCAGTAAGGACCATTTTCATAAGGAAGTATTCATTAAAATCCTTGCTTTCCTGTTCTGATTTTGCATACCTATTCTAATGACCTTCTTGACTGCAATGCATTCATTTTCAATCACTTCTCACACATCTAGTAGTTCTGGTCTTCAGTTTATATGCTTACTAGTTCGTTCACATGACCGGGCAAAAGGTGATTCCTTTCAGAATGTAAAATTCTCTTTAGTGATACGGGTGAATACTGAACTGTTGTGTACGGAAGTAGCCAGAGACAAACCCCCTCCTCCTTTCATTCCAGGAAACATAGCACCAAAATCAGGTCAAAATTATTATTATTATTTCCAGATATAAAATGATGGCCTTACATCTAACAAGTTAGTTTCCTGGGGGAGGAAGTGTTCAGAAGGGGAATAGAATATTCCTTGTATAGTCCCTTTTAAAACCTAAGAATTCTGACCCTTATGCCAGGGCTTTTAAAGTCAGCATGTGCTGTGAGCCCTTAATCAAAATGGGTTTGGGTTCAAGTGAGGCTTTTGAGCAAAATAAGTAAATAAAACAAAGCTATCTGTTAAACGGACATTGGGTTGGGGGATCTATACCTGACTCACAGGTTGTGACGCAATTCAGTATTTTCCTTTGCCTAACGTGTACAATGTCAAAACTGAGCCACGTTATCTCCAAGGGGGCATTTCCTCGTCTGAGAACCTGAAGTTGCTGGTCTGTTGCTATTGACTCAGGTGAAAATGCAAAGGTTAACCGATTAGACGTTTTTCTGTTGCCCAACCAGTATTGACTGTGGCCGATGACGAGGATTATGAGAAACGAAAGTAGCTTGGCTTTCTTCGCACCCACCCCCAAAGTGTTGTATGCATAACGTAGCGCCGTAGGACTTGTGATGGGAAGAGTTGACAACTTACTCTGATGTTCTGTGACAGCACATAACATTTCTCTCCCCCAAGAAGCTCAGAGCGGAAATGGAAAAACATAGCTTAGTTAGGCAGCTAGTTTGGACAGATAACAGCTCCCATAAGTGCTCATCTTGCCCAGGAGTCAGATTGGCTGTAGCTGTTTTATCACAAATTCTCTATGATGGCAAGCCCAGGTGTGATGGCATAGGGTGTGTGTATAGCAAGACCAGTGCTCCTTGTGAGTTCTGCAGAGGAAGGAATGGGAAGTGAGTTTTAGGTACCTACAAATTGCGAAGGGTTCCTTTACTGGAAATCTGAGTAGTAAGGGAAGGGGGAAATGGAGAATGTCTCTATTTACTTTGATGTTGGTCCATTGGCTTTCTTTTACATCTCATTTCCTGCTGAACTTGATATTTCCCCATTCTTCTGCATTTTAAAGTTGGAAGATTTGGTGGCAGGATGATAGGAGGAGTCAGTCTTTATTTCTGGTGGCATAAATAATTAACATGAAAGAAAGCAAATTTTAGCTGTCCCGATGGCTGCTGGGCACCTAAGGAGGTCTGAATTGTTAAACTCCGAAGACCATCATGAGAAACTAGGCAAATATTGACATGTGCTGCTGCCCTTCATTTTATACAGGTTGTGGTATTCTGGTCCATAAAAACTGTAAGGAGAACGTGGTTGCTTGTGCCAAAACCAAAATGAAGGTAAGAATGGTCTTGTTTCCTTTTGTGCAAAAAAAGAGACAATTATCCAAAATTTTCTGTTTGTGCCTAGAAATCGTATGGTAGTAATATGACCAGGATGTACAGAGCACAGACCTCTGATTTTTAGAAGAGCAGGTTTTCTCTGACTTGCAAAATCTCACGTCTTCTGCTGTTTTAAAATGTTTGTTTATTCAGTATTTTTTTTCTACTGCGGAACTCAAAGTGACCTACAAGAATAAACAAACATGCATTAAAACCAGTTTAAACAGAGAAAAATATAAACCTCATTCCCATTTTGAAAAGGCAGGACTTAAACATCGCATTCCCTGAATAAGACAGCAGATAATTAAAAGTCAGAGGTCTAGGAGAAATTGTATTTGCCTGTCACCTAAAGACAGGTAGATAATTTTTTGTACTTCTTGATTGTAAACCACTTTGAGGTTTGTTTGGTTGTTTTTTACAAAGTGGTTTACAAATCCCTAAGAGATTTACAATCATAATTTAAGACATGCAGAAAGTTAAAACCACAATATGTAATGATAGCGCCATGCGAGCCTCTCTGGAATAGCATTCCACAAGCAGGGAGCCACCATTGAAAATGCCTGTTCTTGTTTTCATGCTCTCCAGACCTCCCATAGACTGGGCACATGGAGATGAGGATTTCAGGGTCCGTATCAGTTCATACTGGGGACAGTTCATATATTGGTTTCTAGCCCTGGTTCTTGCATATGTGAGAACAAACTTTGGTTCATCATCATGGTTAGCTTGAACAAAGCAAACCATGGTTGGGCATATTTATTCTGTTGATTTATATACCGCTTAACTACAGAGGCCTCTCAAGCAATTTTCAAAAGTTCAGTACAAAAGAGTAAAAATCCACTTAACCTATAGAAGCAGAATTCAGTTAAAATGTCTGCTGGAATGAAACAAAAGTCTTCAGAATACTAACAAGTTGGCTGTGTCATGTTTTAAGGGTAAATGTGGAGGTGCCTGTGTATGTTTTAAGCTCCTTCAACAAATTGTTTCTAATGCAGAGTAGCAATTCATTTGTTCTCTTTATTCTTTCCATCTCCAGAAAGGAGGAGGCCTTCTAGTCAATGATACTTCCTCGTTACCTACAGTAATTATGAGAAATAAGCGTGAGTACCTTTTCCCCCTTCCTTCTTTACTTCTCGCTGCAGCACCTCAATAGTTGGCACCAGGGCTTTTTTTTCTTTTCTTTTTGTAATTGTGGCATAGAAGAGGTTGTATGTGCTTTAAGATCATGAGCAGAATATAAGGTGGTAGCTAGTGCTGGTCACATTACTAACATAGGCTCATTAATTTCAGCTGGTCTACTCTGAGTAGGACTTTTCCAGCATATATTTTTTTTTCTTACCTCGGTGGTGCATGAATTCTGAACGTTGTGCTGAAAAGGCAGCTGCAAAGCTTTGTAGCTATGTTTGTTCTTCTTATACCACTTGTGATTGCCGTGTGTGTGTGTGTGTGTGTTGTTTAATTCTGTGTTTTTCACTTGTACTGATGTGTATTTTTATTCACGTTATTGTCAGTTGCTATAAAATTCTCACAGGCCTGTTGACTGTAACTAAAGAGATGGTGACAATATGTCCCCCTTTGCAGCCTCTCAGCCAAAGGAGAGACCTCGATCTGCGATTCTAGCCCCTGATGAGAACACCGTGACCTCCATGTTCAATAGCAGGCGATCCCAGCATAACCCTTCCCTTTCGAAAAGTGTCTCCATCCAGAACATTGCTGGGTAAGGGTCATTCTTTCTGGGCAGGTACATTTGGCGCTAATAAGTGCATGGTTTGATGAGTTGAAAAGTGAATAGAGGCACAATTCAAAGGAAGAGCCTGTGAAGAAAATCCCAGGCTTAGTTCCTGGTTATTATTATTTTGCAATTGGAAGGATTTTAAGTGGCAGGGTTGCAAGAGAACCCTGCCTGAAACTCTGGAGAACTGATGCGAATCAGAGTGGAGAGTGACTGCCTAGATGAATCAGTAGTTTTACTCCTCTGTATGTGGTTCACTTTGGGTGGAGAAGCTACAGCTATGGCCATGTTGCCACACGGATTCCATTCTGGCTGTTTCTGCCCAACCCTGTCTACCTCCTGTTATATGTGTCTGCGTTCCATTATACGTAGGCTGGATTGACTACACAAAATAATCACCCATGGGGGAACTCTTGTTGCACAGCTGGCCCATGCAGAAAGCCTCTACTGCTGCTGGTCCCAAACATTGTGCAAAGGATGGGTAGGACAACCCAGTTATCAGTCACTGGGTGTCATAATGTCAGGTGATCAACAGGAGGTTTGCCCTGCCCACCTGTCAGCATTGGCCCATGAGGATGGGGACAGATAACAATCCGGCCCACCAAGCCAAAAAGGTTCCTCACCCTTGTAAGACAACCTGGTGTGTTGAGTGGAGGTTCACACCTTCGTACGGTGAGATGATTTAAAGTATGGATGGGGAACCTGTGGTCCTCCACCAGGGTTTACTAGAATCCAACGCTCATCAGCCCTAGTTAGCATGGTCAATGGTCAGGGACGATGGGAGTTGGGAGTTTCAGTCCAGCAATAATTGCAGAATCACAGGTGTCCCATCCCTGGATTTGGATACCATAACCACATCTGGGCATATATGCTGTCCCCTGCTGGCAGAAGGATGTTAATAGTCTATGTGTTTGAATAATTGGAGATTTCAAGCAATGGATAGAGGTAGGAATGCTATTGGAGGAATGGGGGTTGCAGGGGAGAAGAGGCAGGCAGCTGCCCCTTCCCCATCTCATATCGCACCCTCCCTGCATTCCTCAGTGGAGACCCAGGTTTCCTGAGTCAGCTGTCCAGCAAAGGTAAAATTCTGAATGGCCTGTTCTTTTCTGCCTCTTTGTCCCTCCAGAGTTGGGAATGATGAAAACATACTTTCATGGAAGTTCCTCTCCCAGTCAACGGACTCCTTGAATAAAATAAGCCGGGTGAACGAATCCATGGAGTCATTAACAGATGAAGGTAAGTGGCAGCAGTAAAACAGGCTCAAGTAGTGATCATAAGAAGAGCCTGCTGGATCAGGCCAATAGCCCATCTAGTCCAGCATTCTGTTCTTACAGTGGCTGAAATCAGCAAGCAAGATTCAACTGCAAGTGGTGATGGTTTGAAGCTTCCTATGTGTACAAAATGTCCTTGAAAACATCCACCAAATCAGATTAGGTCTATTGTAGATTGCCTCCTGATGGACTAGTTTTACTATGTGCAAATATATTATTGCAGGCACGTCCAACTCCCAAGAGACTGTGATCTACTCCCAGCGAGGGTGTGGGAGAATGGACTGGAGTTGTTGAGCTTTTTGGGGGGATGACTGACAAGGCTCATCAAGACTGATGGGCTTTGTAGCCAGATAGCATCCGGAGGTCCAAACTCCTGTGCTACAGCCTAGACACAAGATTATTGCCTCAGTTAGAACTAGGCTCCAAATTTAATTGCGGCTAGCAATTACGATTAGGGGTTTCACTTTTATAACACAATTCTCACACTCTTATATACTGGTCTGGTTTGCATGTCATGGTGATCCAGTGCTTATTCCTGGAGAGGCATTGCACTCACTTTGCTCCTTCCTGGTTTTTTTTTATCACAGCAAGGCAGCTGAGCCAAGGTTTGATTTACTGTATTTACTCAAATCTAACCCTCACCTTTTTTTTGGCCAAATTACATCGAGGAAAATTAAGGTGCGTATTAGATTTGATGACACATTTATATTCACCAGCGAATACTTTTTTTGTTTCGTTTCAAGGTTCTGAAAACTGAGGTGTGCATTAGATTTGATGGCTCATTAGACTCGAGTGAATACGGTACTAAGTCACCTGAGCCCAGGATCATGGTTTAGCATTTTCCTTCTTAACCACAGCCTAAAAATCATAAGCCAAACCTTCACTCCAGATTGTGGATAAGGGGGAGAGATCTTAACTACAATCCCAGATTTGAAAAGTGTGCTAAACTAAACCTTGGTTTAGTTGCTGCAACTTACTAAGCTAAAAGGATAAGGGAGAAGAGTGGCTACAATCTCCTCCTTGGGAGACCACACGTGGTTTGGGTTAGTATGTGACTGCTGCCACTATGTGGCCTGCTATCTTTTCATAGTTCCCAAATCAAATGATTACTTTTTCTGTTCAATGTCTGAGTAGGTTGTTTTGGACCTGGAAACCAAATTGCTTTGTGCGCCAGGACATAGCCCATCCGTTAATTCATTTTATCTAGGCACAGCTAAGACACACAGAATGGTGTCCTTTCAAGCAGCAGTGAGCAGTGGCTGCTTTGGTAGCAGATAATTTTTTTATAAAATTGTATTCAGAGGACAAGTAAGCAGTTTCCTGCTCGCTCTCGCTGCGCGATGTGCTGCTATGCTGGATAATCCTCGGCTCCAGCCTCATCTGTTAATTGCTTTCATAGCTCGAATTTGCAGGCTTCGCAGAGCCCCTTTCAACCATTCTGTTAATTTCACCAGAGTAAACAAAGGCGGATAAATTGCACCTTAATTACAATGCAATTACATGTCATTACATAAATGGTTCGCTCTTGGAGATATACACTGTAATTGTGGATTTACTAAGCATTAACTACCAAGTAACTTATGGAAGACTTTTGAAAAACAAAAGGGGGGGTAAAAGAATTACACGGTTACCCGAATGGAGTTTAATGGTTCTACAAACGATCATCTCAACGCTCAGTAATGTGATAAAGACATCAAAGCGACCTTTAGCCAGTCAGATTTTACTGTGCAACAGCATCATGAACTCAAACCACACTGAGGGTATTCCTTCTTGCCTGCACTCAGAATGGGATAAAAAAGACCCTTCCCCCAAAATTATTGCTTGGGGAGGTTCCCTTTGCCCTGTAAAATGCACCACCCTTCCTTCCTCTGTTCATCTCTACTAGTTACTTCTCCAGTCCAATTCACATAATCATGCTTCCCATATTGGTAACACATAAATGCAAATAATGGCTGTAGCTCTCCTTGTTTGGTCAACTTCCAAGCCCCTGGGGTGTAAAGCTGAAGGAGAGTAAGCTTCAGTAGGAGCAGTTCAGCTGAAGAGGCTGAGTGCAGATTTTGGAGACCCAATAGAGGCCTGGACTCTACCGGGAGAGTTCCCAGGGAAGTCGCAAGATGCTTGCTGACTCTGCTGAGTCCTCGGTTGAATCCTTGCATCCCTAGGCAGGGCCTGATGCCTCCCAAAGCCTTGCCTCTTGAACTAAAGTGCACTAAATTGTAAGTGGCGCATTGGAATGGCCTCCGTGGTGCTCTTGTCTTCCCCAGTGGAAGATAAGCAAGCCACCGGCAGAAAGAACTTGCTGGGGTGGAGAGGATAGAGCTTCAGTGCTAGCTTCCTTGCAGATGGGCCTCTGTTACTTACTAGGAGAGAGCAGGACAAGGTGTTGAGAAGAGTGAGGCGAAAGCACTGACAGAACCAATCTAGTACATTTTCATTGTGCTGAACCGCTTCTGGGTGGTGGGTGGAACAGGTTCATGTGCTCAAATCCTGGCTCAGTAATCCAGAATATTCGTGAGCTCTGTGCACCCACGTTACCCCTTTGCTCCCACTTGGCTCTCCTGTTCATGGAAGTGGGGAAGCAAATTAGGGAGCTGCACTTTTCCTTTATGTGTGAACTGGCTTATGAAGCTGTGATCTAAAGCTGGCTTCCAGCTCTTGGTTTTTGTGTGGGTTTTTTTGAATCCTTGAACCATAGTTTCCAGCTTCCTCTCTTGCGCGAAGGGGCTGTATGAGGAAGCACAGAGGGTCAAGCACATCCTGGCTTATTAAGCCAGGATTTGATTGTCTGAAGCTCCCCACCCAAAAGGTCTGAGTTGCTCTTCCAAAGTTCAGGATCCGCTAACTCAGATTCTGACATGTCTTCAAGGAGGTTCTATGAATTCTGCGGTCCTTAGGCTTCCTGGACAGGTGATCCTAAATTTGGGTCATCATCTGATGAGACGCTAATACTAAATTTTGTAGCACATGTATTGTTAAAAGCATCAACCCTGCAGCTCAGCAAACTTGGGGATAAAAATACTAGGAGCATTTGTCATTCAGATTTCCTCTCTCCACTACCCAGGTGCAGATATGAATGAAGGCCAGCTCATGGGAGATTTCGAAACAGACTCAAAGCAGCTGGAAGCCCAGTCCTGGAGTCAAGTCGTAGACGCCAAGTTTCTCCGGCAACAAAAGAAGGATGTTGTGAAGCGGCAAGATGTCATTTATGGTGAGCGTCACAATTTAATGCTAAGACAATCAAAATTCTGCAAGCACAGAGAGAAGATTCTGCAACCTTTGTACAATAGCAAAAGTGTGTGATTTCTCTTTTTTACATTTATTTCTTCTGCTAATCCCAGGAAGGGATAAGGTGGTATAGAGACGACTGAAGCCCCTTTCCCCCAATCTCATTCATTATTTCAGAAGGCATTCTCTCCCTCGGTGTTTTCTTTTTCTTCTAGAATTCATCCTTTTAAGATTCTGTTGTTTGTTTTGTTGTCCTGTTTTATCACGTTGCTACTGTTTGATGTGTGTATTCTTTGTAGATTCTTGTTGCCTTTTATATTGTCTGTGAACTGCCTCAAGAAAGTTCTGATTTCAAGTATAGGAACGTCCTCAGTTACTAAACCAGAGCTGAGATGCTTCGAGAGCCAAGTTCTGTGACCCAGGGATGGGGAACCTCTAGCTATAGAGGCAGATGTGGCCCTCCAAGCCTTTTTTTATCTGGCCTTCAGGAATCTTTGCACTCTGTGGACACACTCCTAACTAGTCCTGCTTTGCAATGCCTTTGAGTATTTTCGCCTATGTTGCATGAGCTCTTAAACTCAGATGATTCTTCATGCTTGTTTGGATGGAGGGTAGAAAAAGGTATATTATAGAGGGGACACCAATGTGATGCCATCTGAATGTTTCTAGACTACAACTCCCACCAGCCTCAGCCAGCATGGCCAGTGGTCAGGAATGATGGAAGTTGTGGTTGGACAACATCTGGAGGGCAGCACCTTGGCTATCCTTGGTGTGTAGTTAACCAGCTTACTATATAAAAGCAAAATTAGCCAGTGGCGTAGCGTGGGTTGTCAGCATCCGTGGCAAGGCAAGTAATTTGCGCCCCCTAACCCGTGGATTTGCGCCCCCTAACCCTAACCCCCAGATGTTGCGCCCGGTGCGGCCGGCCCCCCCTGCACCCCCCACGCTACCCCACTGAAATTAGCATGAGTTGCTCTTTTGCTTCTGGCCCATTGCTGTCATGTGGCCACTGGAAACTTGCCTAGAGGGGACTGTGGCCCCATGCTTGTAATGGCCAGTGCTACATTTTGTGGCTTTTCTCTGCTTTTCCGGGCCCTTCTCTGCTAACATCCCCTGTGTCTGTCTTGCCTTCACCCCTCTCTGTTCTTCTTCAGAACTGATGCAGACGGAAATGCACCACGTCCGCACCTTGAAGATCATGAGCGACGTGTACAGCAGAGGAATGCTGCAGGAATTGCAGTATGAGCAGCAGATGGTGGAAAAAGTCTTCCCTTGCCTGGACGACCTGCTGAACATCCACACCCAGTTCTTCCAGCGGATTCTGGAGAGGAAGAAGGAGTCGCTGGCGGACAGAAGCGAGAAGAATTTTGTCATCAAGAGGATAGGGGACATCCTTGTGAACCAAGTAAGCACTGGGAAGTGTATCTGAGGGCAGCGCAGGGCACAGAGCCTGTGTTTCAGTCCGCCTAATCTGGGTTGCACATGCAGCAAACTGAAAGCCATGATTCTGTGTGAGGAATGGCAGAATTCTGCAGCCTCTGTTAGCAAATTAAGTGTCTGTTTTGCACAATTTATTCTGCCAGGTGTAAGCAGGAGCAAATAGCTATATCAGGTCCTAAAGCCACCATGTTGCTGCAAATCCTGCTCAGTAGGCGCGAGGCAGGATCCAGCCGTTCTAGTGAAGTCAAAGGCAGTATTTGCTTTTGCAAGCAGAACTATTCCTTGCAACATCTCTGTAGAGCGCTCCAAATGATGCTGTACAGTGATGCATAAAGATTGACACTTACATTATTTATTTTGAGATTATTTTAAACATTCACTTGATTGGAGTCAGATAGCTCTTTTAGTGAATCCAATGGAAAAACACGCAGCAGCAAAACCACAATGGGAGCAGAACTGAAGCACAACAGAAGGAACGGCATGTTTACTGAAGAAGGGGCACAACCTCAGGGAAGTCAGGTTGCATAATTCATAGCTCTCTGAGGTCCAGTTATGACCCTAAATGTGTAAAAGGGGCTTTAAAAAACAAAACTGTAACCCTTAATATTATGCAAAAGTGTCCCAAGTTGATCACTGACATCATCGGGGGGAGGGGCACTATTAGTGGTCTCCCATGGATCAGAAACACAGCTTTGCATCAATAAGAAGTGATGCATTCAGTGCTGTGGGCCCAGTTCTATTGAACTTCCTCCCACTAGAAGTCAGACAGGCCCTGTCCCTGCTAAGTTCCAGGTGTCTGGTTAAAACCATTTTATTTCAGAAGGCTTTTGCATCATGGATACAAAACATCTCTGTTGTATTAAAGTTTTCTGATATTCTTCCTTTAAATTTCCAAGAGATTAAATTTCTAAGGTTTAATTTATGGGATTTTTATAGTAGTAAGACGCTCTGACACCTAAGATGGTGAAAAGTGGGATATAATGAATAAAAGCATTAATACCACTGTGAGAGCCACCACTTTCATTTTCCCACAAGAAGTGCTGGGACGTTTAGCACAAACCATGGTCTGCTGTGATGTCTCAACTGAGCGAGTGGCTGATGATTAGGTTGCCTTACCCACTTGGGGAGACCGCTGGTGAACTCTTAACATATGTTTTAACTTCTGGCAGTTTTCTGGGGAGAACGCTGAGAAAATGAAGAAAACCTACGGCAAGTTCTGCGGGCACCACAATGAGGCGGTGAATTACTTTAAAGACCTTCATTCCAAGGAGAAACGGTTTCAAGCATTCATCAAGGTAACACCGGTGTTTTGCAAATGTTCTCTTGTATAGAGTTGGGGTAGGGAATAGGGGGAAGAAGCATGCAGGTGAAGTTTCTTGTATATTGTGCTTCCTCCTTAAAAATCCAGATTCTTTCACCAAAGTCAACCACATATTGCAAGGATAGGGAGCCTGTGGCCCTCCAGATATTTATCCCTGGGCTTCTAGTATCCAGTTTCTAGGCAGAATATGTGTGTGTGATCAAAGTGGGGTGAGGTAGGGATAGTTTGCAAGGAATAACTGCTCAGTAGCAGCAGCAGCAGCAGGCTAATGGTGAGGAGTGTACCCTTTATCTTTCATTTCATTATTCTTTCGCTAGAAAAAGATGAGCAGCTCTGTGGTGAGGCGTCTGGGCATTCCTGAGTGCATCTTGCTAGTAACACAGAGGATCACCAAATATCCTGTGCTGCTACAAAGAATACTGCAGCATACCAAAGGTAGGAGAAAAACTGCCATTTTCCACCTTGGTGAGCAAATGGCGATATGGACCTCAGAAACTTTGGCATTTTATAACTGGGCTTGTGGCATAGAAAGCACCCATTGCAAAACCTTTTAGCATCCCTTTGTGCTTGCTTGCTGAGAGACTGTTGTCTTAGGATGTATTCTAGGTGAAAGAAAGGTGTGTCTACAGCAGCCTCCATTTAATGGAAATGGTCCTGTGGCTTCTGAAACCCACATTATTCTAAGTTGCTTCTGTTTAGTTCAATTGCACAAGTGTAGGTTTGTGTGGGTCTGCTGATTCTTCATGCCGCTTCTGGCAATGATCCCTGTTTTGGCACTTGTACTGTATCACGATGCTAATTTTACCTCCATACAGTTAGCTTGTCTCTCCACACCCCTACAAGCAAGGCACGCAAGAGCCAAAAAACACTCTAGGTGTGAAGAAGGGCCAGCTAAAGGGTTTAGCCAGGGGAGAGTTTGAAGGCCAGAGAGGGTTGGAGGGCTCCATTCGACCCCAAGCCCCAAGGTTCCCCACCTCAACTCTACACGAATTGAGAGAGATCTAAGTGTCACTGTCAAATGTGTGCTCAGCAAATAGCTGGGAGGGTCAGGGAAAGGGAACGTAAAAGAAGTTAGCTAAAGCTCAAGAGCTGGGCGAAAAGAATTAAGCGAGAACTGAAAGGTGGGTCTCCTTGTGTTTTAAGAAAACGACGAAGAACATCAAGATTTGGTGCTGTCCCTAAACCTGGTGAAGGAAGTAATCACTGCTGTGAACAGCAAAGTCAGCAACTACGAGAAGAAGATGCGCCTCAATGAAATCTACACCCGGACGGACAGCAAGTCTATCATGAGAATGAAGAGCGGGCAGATGTTTGCCAGAGAGGACCTGCGGCGCAGGAAGTTTGTCCGGGACGGGCCCATCTCCCTGAGAAATGCAGCCAGCAAACTGAAAGGTAAGTGAGTCCTGCTGTCTGTATTTCCTTCCTGTCCCTGTATATTGGATAAAGGTGTAATTTGTTGGACCCTCCACGGTGTCCACATTGGGACAGTCTTTTAAATTCCTAGACTGCTTAAGCACAGCTGCTTATTTAAAAATGTGCGCCCTGCATTTTCCCCAGTGGATTTCCAAAGGCCTACAGTACTTTAAAACTGTTGTGTTGTAAAGAGAGAGAAAAATCAGGACCATAATAACAGCCAATAAAGCCAGCAATATTGGCATAAGACGGCAGCAGCAGCAACCATTCACTTAGCAGTGAACCCCCATAAGCCTTTTGCAACTGCAATGCTTTAATGTGCTCTCCAAACCCCAGCCAAGATGAAGCAAGGTGAATCTCTCTAGGGTGGGACTTTGGATGTCACTGCTGCAAAGCTCCCATCCTGTGTAGCTGCCCACCAACAGGGCCTTGGGGGATGACCTTCATGCAGAGTTAACCCCCCAGGTGTTGCTGGACCCCGGCTCTTGTCATCCCTGACTATTGCCCCTATTAGATGGGGTTGATGGGAGTCGGAGCCCCCCAGTATTTGGAGGGCCACAGTTTCCCCCACCCCTGCATAGTAAGCTGCCTTATACCAAGTCAAACCATCGGCCCATCTAGCTCAGTATTATCTACTCTGACTGGCAGTGGCCTCTCCAGGATTTCAGAAGTGAGTCACTCCCAGTGCTACCTGTAGGGATATTTTTTTCCTGCACAGCCATGTGATGCTTCTGATGCATGTCACGTCCAGCACACAGACCCAGGTGGTACATCATACTTGCTGGACACTTGTTATATGGTACAGTGGTGCCTCGCAAGACGAAATTAATCTGTTCCGCGAGTCTCTTCGTCTTGCGGTTTTTTCGTCTTGCGAAGCACGGCTATTAGCGGCTTAGTGGCTATTAACGGCTTAGCGGCTTTAAGAAAAAGGAAACAAACTCGCAAGAACTAGCAAGACGTTTCGTCTTGCGAAGCAAGCCCATAGGGAAATTCGTCTTACGGAACGACTCAAAAAACGGAAAACCCTTTCGTCTAGCGAGTTTTTCGTCTTGCGAGGCATTCGTCTTGCGGGGCACCACTGTACCTGGGAAACTATCTGAATAGCAGTGGTGGATCCTAAAGAATTAATTGCTTCTTGTACAGCGTGATTCAGCTGGAATAGTGTTTAGCCCGGGGGGCTGTGGAAACCAAGTTTGCCATTGCCTTCTAAGTTGCTCCAGGATGTGCCACCTTCAGTCTGGGGTAAGGTTACCAGATTTTTTCCAATGAATCCAGGGACACTTTTCAACTTCAATGGATTTTGTATGGGGACTGATTTGTAAATCCGGGGACTGTCCCTGGGAAACGAGGACATCTGGTAACCTTAGTCTGGGGGAGATGGTTAAACTCTCCTTCTGGGTGAACTCTCACCCTGGAGCATATTGGTTGTCCTGTAAGCATCCTGCCATGTGTCAAGGAGAATTCTCCTTTAGTTTCCAGAAACTAGTATTCCAGAAATACTTCATGTACAGTGAAATGATGAGCTGCAAACACTGCCATTGCTGCACCTTGTGGAAGAAACTTGCTGCTTGTGGCCACTACTTTTGGAAAAACTCCCCTTGACCTGACACTTTGGTCTTTTGATACTGATGGTTGTGGTGGGTGGATGGAGAGCTGCCTGCAGCCAATGAGAGTTATACCCAGCAAAAACCACTCCTTAGAAAAACAGCGTTTTAACACCTTTTCCTCTTAGGACAAAAGCATTGATTGTGAATAAGGAGCATTTGCGCTCTCCTGCCCACTTAGCCACCTCTTCCCTAAACTTCCAGGTCTCTTGAGGTTTAGAAATGAGCAAGTGTTTGTGTGTTTTTACATGGTCTGTTGTGTTTTTCTTTGCCAGAAGTCCAGGCTGTTCTCCTCTCAGATGTTCTGATATTTCTTCAGGAAAAGGACCAGAAATATGTGTTTGCATCTCTGGTAAGGTCTTTAGTACTTTCTAATCAATAATAATAATTATGATAAATATACATTTGGCTAAAAAATGAGTTACTGAATCAAAGAAGATTCTTGTATTTAGTTTTTGTTTGTTTTTAAAATTATCTGCTCCTTTCAGTCCTTTTTACCATTTTTAAGGAAAGGCACACAGCCTCTGAATATATTTGTTTGGGGGCAAAAAATTCCTGGCTCCTATTTTCTCTGTGTACATTTTCCTTAGCATCTTTCAAATTTATTACTATTATTTTATTAAAGCACTTGCTCCCTTCTGGGCAAAGCTCACCGTTATTAAAAGAGCAAGAAATAGCAGGTATAAAGCAGCACGTTAAAACAGCAGAACTGTACAGAATGAAATTACAAAATGGGATTTAAAAAGCTGGTTTTTAAAAATCTTTTCAAAAACCTATAAAATGCAATGGTGCTTTTGATCTTTAAGGGGGGGACCTCCAAAATGCCCAGTGGAGCAATGTCTTTATTAGAACCAACCAAAATGCCACAAGATTGCAGCAAGCGATTAAGTTCCCCAGAAGTCTTCATTGCATTAGCTGACCTCAAGGCCATAACATGCAGTAGTGGTTACCTAACTGTGCATTTCAAAAGTTTATTGTTCTCCTTTCCCATTCAGTCCTACCCTTTGCAGAGACGCAGAAACGTATTTGGCAATCTGTGATGATGTTCCTGTGTTGGTATAAGTAAGGAAATATACTGTCAGGAAGCAACACACAGCTTAAGAGAGTCAGTTTCCGGACTCTCTGCAACACGAATGGGGCATCTGTGGCTCCCCAGATGTTGTTGGGCTCCAATTTCCATTAGCCGCAACCAGCGTGACCGGTGGCCAAAGATGCTGAGAACTGGACTCCAGGAACTTCTGAAGGGCCACTGGTTCTCCTCATCAGCTGTACAATGAATCCAATCTAAACCAACATCTAGAGCCCCATTTAGGCTCTGATTTAGGGCAGCTTCATTATATAGTAGGTGGACTTGTGTTGGACAAATCAGATCAGTAGTGAAGAGTTGAGCCAAGATGTTTTCCTAGTCCAAATTCTCCCTACCATTAAAACCTACTGAAATGCTTTAGGAAGTCGCTTGCTCTCATTCGCCACAGCATCTAAGATTGGCTGCAGGTAATGAAACTGATTTGTAAAAATGTTACATGGAAAAAATACGAGACACATTACACATACTTCTGTAAAACAAGAAAATCTTTAATAAAACAAAAACAAAAGATTGGCTGCAGGCTTGAGAAACTCCCTGCACCTGTGTGTGTGTGTTTAAACTGAAGTACTTTAGAGGGGGATATGTATTAAATAATCCATTGGTTAGGGCTTGTAGTGGTTAAGATAGAAAAGTAGGCCTGTCAGGCTGCATCAGATTGAAAGCTGATTGATTTGTTTTCCTCTCTTCTTCCCAAAAGGATCAAAAATCCACAGTGATATCTCTGAAGAAGCTGATTGTCCGAGAAGTAGCCCATGAGGAGAAGGGCTTGTTCCTTATCAGCATGGGAGGGAAGGACCCAGAAATGGTGGAAGTTCGCGCCAGCTCAAAGGAAGAGCGCAACAGCTGGATACAAAGCATCCAGGACACCATGAATACTATGTAAGCAGCTGGTGGTTGGTCTGCAGAATGCATGGGCATTGTGTGTGGAATGCAATTGCAATCAAGTTTAGGATTGGCTGTGTCTCTGTGGCAGGGTGGCATCAAGGTGGAGGCTGCCCTGGAGCATTGCTCTAGTATTTGAATGCTCTTAGGATGTGCAGGTCAAGGACCCACATGTCCATTTTTGATGGTGTTGTGGTGCCATGTTGAATGGAAGGACCATAGATCTGGTAGAGCATCTGCTTTGCATGCCTTCCGCAGCATCTCCAGCTAGCGCTGGGGCAGACCTCTGTTTGAAACCCTGGAGAGCAACTTTCCAGACAGGGTAGTGAGGGTACTGAGCTAGACAAGGGATGCAGGTGGACTAAACCACTGAGCCTCTTACGCTTGCTGATCGGAAGGTCGGCGGTTCGAATCCCCACGACGGAGTGAGCTCCTGTTGCTCTGTTCCAGCTTCTGCCAACCTAGCAGTTTGAAAGCATGCCAGTGCAAGTAGATAAATAGGTATCACTGCTGTGGGAGGGTAAATGGCTTTTCTGTGCACTCTGCCTTCCGTCATGATGTCCCGTTGCGGCAGAAGCAGTTTATAGTCATGCTGGCCACATGACCCGGAAAGCTGTCTTTGGACAAACATCAGCTCCCTTGACCTGAAAGCGAGATGAGAGCCACAACCCCATAGTCGCCTTTGACTGGACTTAACTGTCCAGGGGTTTTAACCTTACTGAGCTAGATGGACGAACGGCCTGATTCAGTTATAAGGCAGCTCTTCCTGTGTTCATAAGCTCGGTGTCCTTGCATCACATTGAATAAAAGGGAGGAGTTCCAAAATTTCTGGCCAGCTCGAGCATTCTACACGCTGATTGTTGTTGTAAACTATTAAACAGGACTATATAGTAAGCAGGCATGCAAAAGACACAGATCCCTTTGTTGGAAAAAGGTCTATGTGTAACTGAGCTGTGTTGACATCGTTGTTAAAGTTAATGAGGTATACAAAAGCAATTCTAAGATACGCTAATCCACTGCATTTCTGCAGTTTAATCATCAATCAACCACTTTGCTTTTTTAGCCGCAGGCTGCTAAAACTGAATTGTTATATAAATAAGTAGCATCTGTACATACAGCTGAGTATCGTGTCTATATACGACTTTAAATGAGCATAAAACTAAATATGACTGATAGTGTCTTACTGTAAACTTAAATAAACCAGGAAAAGATGTACCGCCAGATGAGAATTCAGTACAAATAGCAACAAAATAAACAAATTACTAAATAATGCAAGTTACAAATCCATCCGATGCAAAATTTCCCAATGCTGGACATCAGTAGGCAAAATTGGCCACCTACTGGCCGACTTACTGTAATGTTTGTTAAAAGTTTGCTTATATTCAAGTCCAGGCATTCTAAGCCCTGCCAGAAATCTTGTCGCCTCTGCAAAGAATGAAAGCCTTTTCCTTCCCTCCTAAAACATTTGCTTCCCACTGACATCCCAAATGAGCACTTCAGGGGTTTCAAAAAAGATGCAGAGATGTTGATGTTTTTCCTGCCCTGTTCTACTCTGTTTTGGCTCTCCCTGCAGGGATAAGGAAGAAGATGAAGGCATCCCTAGTGAATCGGAGGAGGAAAAGCGGGTGCTTGACACCAAAGCCCGGGAACTGAAAGGTAAAAACAACAGAAGCTGTGGCCAAAACATTTGCCTAAAACATGCCATAAATGTGGAGAGCTGGGGAACCAATGCCCATCCAAATATGAGAGTCCTAAGCCCAGCAGCCCCAACCACTGTGGTCAGTGATGATGGCACTAACTGGAGGGCCACAGGCCTTTTAGAAGCTACCCAGTAAATTTCGGTGTTTTGATTCCAAATGCCTTGTACTGAGACCTAACTCGCTAATTATAGCACTGCACTGGCTCTTAAACCTCCCCTCACTTACTCTATATATATTGGCTCAATTCATATGTAACACTGAGCCAAACCATGGTTTAGTGTGAATGTGCCGGGCTCCCAGAGGTAGCTCATTGTGGCCACTTCGTTCCTCCTCTAGTCTTGCTGCTGCTGTGAGCTGAACCACAGTTTTGTTTTAACTTGTCATTCAAACCCATGCTTTGTCTCGCTCGAGATAAACTTTCGGAAGCTAAACTTAAGCCAGCTTTTGCAAACCTGGGGGTCTCTGGATGTTACATGACTACAACTCCCATCAGCCCCATTTGTTAGCCAAGCTGGCTAGGATGGGTGGGAATCTCAGTTGAACATCTGGAGGGCTCCACACTGTCTACACATTCTTAGCCGGAAGGAATAATGGTCTGACTAGGTACAGTGTTGGTTTGCTTTGCATCAGTTTGCCTTGCCCTGTCCCCTCATTTTGCAAAGCATCCTTTCCCCATGATAATAACTCTCTGTGACCAGAGTTTCTCTTGATTCCTGTGATTCCCTGACTCGCCAGAAGGTGGGGCCTGGGTCTCAGTGATTGTGAGTCCCACCGAGTTGCCGAGGCACATTCTGTGTTCTGCAGCAATTCTTCGACTGACCTTCCCCTTCTACCCCACAGAACAGCTCCATCAAAAAGACCAGCAGATTATCACACTGTTGGAGGAGAAGGAGAAGATCTTTCGGGACATGACAGACTGCAGTGGGCATGAGGACAGCTCAGGGGCTAGGACCTTGTTCCGGGCAAACACAGAAGAGGCACCCAAGGGGGAAAGTGTGATGAAGAGCGTGATAAATGAAGGTAAGCTTCCATTCACTGCCGTCTCCCCAGAAGGAAATGTATATTCACCTGTATATTCAGCCTTAGCAAATGCACAGTAGCTCAGGGGCGGCAGTGTCTGCTTCGCATGCAGAAGGTTCCAGGTTCAATTCCTGGCATCTTCAGGTGAGGGCAGGGAGCATCATCTCCTGTCTGGAGGCCTGGGAGCTGCTGCCAGTCAGTGTAGACAATCCTGAGCTAGGATGCAGGGATCTAAACTGCAGCAAAGGTGAGACAGATCTAATGTGGCTAGACAGATTCAATTCAGGAAATGAAGTTGGAATTGGTCCCCTGTTTTGTCCACCACTTTGCCCCAAGTCAGGGGGCATAGTCTCCCAGCCAGGACACCTGCGCTTGGTGGCATGCGCACCCACACACCATCATTTCAAATCTCTCCTGAACCCACAACCCAGTTCTTAATCCGTTAACCTTCATCCTTTTCTGAAACTTAAGCCTAAGCCAGCTTTTGCCAACCCTTCCTCAGACGTTTTGGACTCCCAACTCCCATCAGCCCTACCTAGCCTGTTGACTGTTGCAGTTATTAGATGTTGCTGCTCTTAGGGAGTTTTGTTTATAGAGAAAGTAAAGACTGATTGGGGACGCGGGTGGCGCTGTGGGTTAAACCACAGAGCCTAGCTAGGACTTGCCGATCAGAAGGTCGGCGGTTCAAATCCCTGCGACAGGGTGGGCTCCCGTTGCTCGGTCCCTGCTCCTGCCAACCTAGCAGTTCGAAAGCACGTCAAAGTGCAAGTAGATAAATAGGTACCGCTCTGGCGGGAAGGTAAACGGCGTTTCCGTGCGCTGCTCTGGTTCGCCAGAAGCGGCTTAGTCATGCTGGCCACATGACCCAGAAGCTGTACACCGGCTCCCTCGGCCAATAAAGTGAGATGAGCGCCGCAACCCCAGAGTCGGTCACGACTGGACCTAATGATCAGGGTCCCTTTACCTTTACCTAAAGACTGATTGCCGAAAGGTCCCGATACATAAGCACATTTATGTTGGCTGAGGCTGATGGGAATTGTAGTCTTAACACTTCTGTAGGGCACCAGGTTGCCAAAGTCTAGCATAAGCATTTATAATTTCATTTGCACGTGTTCTTGCCCTGTTTCTCTTGCCTCAGTCGCCCTTCCTCTTTGTCTCAGTGCAGATTGGGAGTTTTTCTGGGTGCAGGGACTTTTCATCTTAATGTTACTCTCTCTGTAAAACCCTGTGTGCTTTGCAAGCATTGGATGAATCCTCATGATGTCTAGCTTGAACGCAGGTGACTTTGCAGACTCCCATAAGTCACCCACCACTGCCTTCACAACTTAGTTTCTTCCTAACATTCAGATCTGCCTTAGCAGGTTAGCATGAATGGAGTTTGGTCATATAATCAACTTCTGCTTGCTTGCTTCTTCTCCTTTCAGTTGAGCTGTTGCAAGGGTTGGTGAGCAGGAGCCTCGGAAGTGCCCTTGGGCAACAGATGAGCAGCCTCACCTTGGAGCAAGAGGGCGTGGGACCTATCTCCCTCCCCAGGAGGGCAGAGACATTTGGAGGCTTTGACAGTCACCAAATGAATGTCTGCAAGGGTGAGTATCCTTTTCACCTCTTCCCCAGGCGCCATGGTGTTCCCTAGAACTTCACACTGCTTTTGTGTTGATCTTTGCATGCCCATCCCCTCCTGAGCTTGCGTCCAAGGTAAAATAAAAGGTAAAGGGACCCTTGACCATTAGGTCCAGTTGCAGACGACTCTGGGGTTGCGGCACTCATCTCGCTTTATTGGCCGAGGGAGCCGGCGTACAGCTTCCGGGTCATGTGGCCAGCATGACTAAGCCACTTCTGGTGAACCAGAACAGCACATGGAAACGCCGTTTACCTTCCCGCCGGAGCGGTACCTATTTATCTACTTGCACTTTGACATGCTTTCGAACTGCTAGCATGGCAGGAGCAGGGACCGAGCAACGGGAGCTCACCCCGTCATGGGGATTCGAACCGCTGACCTCCTGATCAGCATGCACTAGGCTCTGTGGTTTAACCCACAGGGCCATCCACGTCCCTTGCGTCCAAGGTCTTCGTATTAATTTGCAAATTCCTGAACAGCTTAGGTCTGGGATACCTTGAGGGACTGCCTGAATCCTTTTGCTTCAGTTTGATCGCTGAGATCATCTGTAGGAGTTTTGTTAAAAACTCATCTGTAGATCATCTGTAGGAGTTTTGTAAAAATGATTTTTACAAATTTAAAGAAAGTGGAGGACTTCCTTTCAAACAAGGATGTGGAGAGGGATTCTAGACTGCCCTCAGCTCTACGGCTGGAATATTGCAATCATTCTATGTTTTTTCCTGGGCCTAAGGAACTCACGTTAACATCTGACTTTTCAGGGGTGGAAAAGGTTGAAGGAGACGATGTGCAGGATCTTCGGAGGACAGAGTCGGACAGTGTTTTGAAGAAGGTATGGAACTGAGGAGGGTCCTTCACTTAGCAGTAGATGCATTGCCTATAGGGCTGTCAATGGCTACTAACCGTGACAACAGTGCTGTGCCACCAAAGTCAGAGGCAGCGCTGCTTCTGAATACCAGTTGCTGGAAGCCACTGGTGGGGTGAGGGAGTCCTCTAGCGCTTGCAGGTTTCCCACAGGCACCCAGTTGGCCACTGTGACAACAGGCTGCTGGAGTAGGTGGACCATTGGCCTGATCCAGCAGGCCTTTTCTTGGGATGTTCTTATGTCCGTTCCCTAGCATCTCCAGCTATTAAGACCTTGGAGTGCACCTGCAAATTGGAAGAGACAGTGTTGTATCCAATGTGCCAGAGGTCTAGAAGGCTGCATATTTCATGAATCGCTTTCCTATGAAACACCTCAGAGCAATTAAACAAAAAAACAGCCCATGAACAGTTGAAACAGCAGCTGCATGTATACAAACAATTTCATATCTGTCAGGGAACTGCCATCAGTGCCGGAGGGAGAGAGCAAGCTCCAGAGGGATCCCAGAGAGCGTCCAGGGATTGGGAGAGGGATCTTCTGGGGAAGGGAATCAGCTTAGCTCCAGTGGAGAAGGGGGGCAGATGGGGGAATCTGAGAGGGGGTCACATGACTCCTTGCAGGGGACCAATGGGGGGAGGAAGGGTCCTCCGCTGCCTACGCCCTCCTTGCGCAGAAGGCTTCCGCGCAGGGAAAGTAGGAGGAGACTGGGCGTGAAAGAACTTCTTTGTTGGAAGAAGTTTAAGAAACGCCCACTGACGGATTCTGCCAGCAATTGAGACAGCCACGGGTGAGTGGCTGTCCAGACAGAAAAGGTTCACTTAGGCAACCCAGCCAGGTGTGGGCACCGGCTTACGCATGAGCAACCCCTAGAACCATTACAATATCCAACAGAAATACAGACTGGGATAAAAGCCTTCACTAAAAAGGCACATTTTTAAAAAAGGTCTCTGTGGCGATCACACAGGGCCCCCGGACGTTTCACGGTCTATTGACCCTGTGCCACCACTGCGATAGCTTTCTTCGCTGCCACCACCCCGCTTCTCACGGGGACACATGGAGTCCAGACAGTTGTTAACATAAACAAATAATCAAGTTTATTTTTAAATGCAGGGACAAGCGTATGGTTGCAGTTTATTTTTCTCTTGTCAGTTTCCTAATCTTAGTTCCTAACAACTCCAAACTGAATTATTCCCAACTATCTATCTGACTCCACCTAACAATTCCTCTCACTCTCTCACCAGTACAACTCTACCAACCCACTGCCTATTCCACCCTCTTCCTTCTTCAACACCCAAGCCTCAACTCCCAACTCCCAAACCTCAAATGACTTTCAAAACCTCCCACTCTATCTTTTACTCCCCCCCTTGCATTCTCACTGGCCAATCACATCACACCCATTTTAACCCTTTCCTTGACCCAAACTAGGAGGCAAACGCCACAGTCTCCCATGTGGGTGCCCACCCAGACAATTTCCTTGGGGCTCATTCTGGCTCATTCAGCAGCGCCTTATTTTTCCTCCTGAAAAACATGAACTTTGAGGTGGGTGGCGCTGTGGGTAAAAGCCTCAGCGCCTAGGGCTTGCCGATCAAAAGGTCGGCGGTTCGAATCCCCGCGGCGGGGTGCGCTCCCGCTGCTCGGTCCCAGCGCCTGCCAACCTAGCAGTTCGAAAGCACCCCCGGGTGCAAGTAGATAAATAGGGACCACTTACCAGCGGGAAGGTAAACGGTGTTTCCGTGTGCTGCACTGGCTCGCCAGATGCAGCTTTGTCACGCTGGCCACGTGACCCGGAAGTGTCTCCGGACAGCGCTGGCCCCCGGCCTCTTGAGTCAGATGGGCGCACAACCCCAGAGTCTGTCAAGACTGGCCCGTACGGGCAGGGGTACCTTTACCTTTACCTTATTTAAAGAAAGAAGACAGGAGTGCCTGGCGTGCTCTGGTCCATGGGGTCACAAAGAGTCAGACACGACTAAACGACAACAATTTAAACAAACAAAATAAAAAATAATCACCGTTCTGGAACATTAAAACCCCTTCACATAAAGCCTTGTTTTTCATTATTTTATTTTATTTTGTTCACACTGACTGGCAGAGAGGGTCCTTCCAGCCCTGCCTGGAAGTTGAGCGTGGGACCTTCTGCATGCAAGGCAAATGCTCTACCTCTGAGCTGCAGCCTTCTCTCCCCTTTCTAAAGAGTTCGAGGCAAAATGGACTAAACACCCGATGCGAGGCATGGGCAGGCAACCTGTGGGCCTCCAAATTTTCTTGGATTCCATCTCCCCACAGCTGCAGGCACCGTGGCCAATGTGTCAGGGATGATGGGAGTTGTAGTCCATCCATAAGTGGAGGGTCACAGGTTGTCTCCTCCTGGGGATCAGTGTTGCTGCCTGAGGCTGCCTTTGATCCTTGCTATCTTTCCTCTGCCTTGTTCTCATTAAGACTGTCTGATCTCTTCCCAGGGAGGAACAGCTAACTTGATGTTTGTGCTGAAAAGGAACAATGAGGTAAACATTCCTGTTCTCACTTCGCCTTCTTTGCTGAGGAACACAGCCAAAGGAACCTGGTCTCTGCTTTTCAGGATCACGGTTTCCAAAGCAGCATGCAACACAATTAAAACAACCAAAACGTTTTCAACCAGCAGGGAAATAGCCCAAAAACTCGATATCCAAAGAATATGGGTGCTTCCAGATGAGGGTCTAATCTGCAGATGGGTAATGTTGCAAGAAGACTTTAAAATAAATAAAAAATAGCAGATTTCCCCTGGAAAGGATATCCATGCTAAGTTTGTGGAAGGGGCAGGATACGGGCTTGCATTTTGATGCCAAACACATTGTGTGGACACTGCAAAACAATTTTGCATGCATGAGGAGCACCCATCTCACAATGAACACCAGTCCAGAACACTCTCTGTTGTGTCGGATGCTTGATCAGTTCTACAGAGGCTCACTTGAGGTTTGCTAATGGTTGATCAATAGAGTGTGCTCTCTCTTCTGCCCCTCTTGGGCTAAAACACTGCAGCAGATCAGTGTCGCCAGTAACTGAATCAGCAGCTGACAGCAGCTTATTTCTTTTTTTCCCCTCCTGCAGCAAGTTCTCCAGAGCATCACTCACCTCCACAGCTTGCTGGGCATGTTGCAGGTAAGTAAGTCCCAGGACGAGGGGGTGGGGAGGAATACTGCCATCGGCCAAGGGCTCTTTGCCATGTGGATTCTCTGCTTGCACAATGCACCATGTAATATTGGCTTAGAGTCTTCACAAGCCATATCAGAAGGGTTGGGGTGCTTGGGCTTAAACTAAGCTTCCCTCTGCTGCTGTACTTGCTGGCAGGATGTTGGGGGAGCCCTCAGTTCTAGCAAGGGGTCCAGCAAATAAAGGGTCTCTCCCAGAAGCAGAGATGATTATGTGCAAGGGAAGAACATGGCATTGGTGTTGTCAGGGTACAATGCCAGCCCTGTTGCGTGGAGAGGTCCGACACAGAGGGAGCTGCCTCATACCAACTTGGGCCATGGGCACAACTAGTTCTGTCTTGTCTACACCACAAGTAGGAGACCTTTTTCAAGCCGAGGGCCACCTTCCCTCGCTGGCAGCCTTCTGGGAGCCACGTGATAATGGGGCCAAACTGGGCATGGCCAGAAATACACCACTCTTAGTCTCCATCCAGGCAAATAAGAGGTATTATCACAGTTCAAGGACACATTGCAGCCAGGCAAGAACACTAAAGGAGGGTGCAGGGCCAGGACCAGAGGACAACATGGTATAGGGAAGTGACATGGCCTGAGTAGAACTCCAAGTTCAGATATAGAAGTCTAGAGAGCCACATATGGGCTCAGGTTCCCCATCTCTTCTCTAGAACACCTGGTAGTGGCAATCCAAGGAAAGGAGTCTCTTCCTGTCCTTTCTCCGGGCCCTTCCTGGAGAGAGCAGGGGTTGAACTGGAGGGCAGGGCATCTCCTGCATGCAAAGCCCCTGAGCTCCAGCCTTCCCTAAGCCTTCCCTCCCTTCCCCAGGCTGTTGTCGTGCAGCAGGACACCTACATTGAGGACCAGAAGCTTCTCCTGACGGAGAGGGCCCTGACCCGCAGCTCCCTGCGGCCCCAACTCCCTGATTGAGCAGGAGAAGCAGCGCAGCCTGGAGAAGCAGCGGCAGGAGCTGGCCAACCTGCAGAAGCAGCAGGCCCAGCACCAGGAGGAGAAGCGGAAGAGGGAGCGGGAGTGGGAGGCCCGCGAGAAGGAGGTGGCGGAGCGGGAGGCCCGGCTGGCCCAGCGGGAGGAGCAGCTCCAGAAGGGGCACCACAGCCTGGAGAAGGAGCTGGAGGAGCTGCAGCAGAAGAAGGCCACCTACCAGCTTGATCTGGAGCACCTCCGCGCAGCCCAGAAGCAGCTGGAGAAGGAGAAGGAGCAGCTCAAGAGGGACATGGAGCAGATCTCCCAGCTGCGGGCAGAGCCCAACCACAGTCCCGTAAGTCACCTTCTCACTCTAGTTTTTGGCAAAGGCAGATGCGTATAGGAAGCCACCTTGTACTGAGTCTGATCCCACTGGCCCACATGAGAAGACTTGAGCCTTTTCAGAAACCAGACCCACCTTCTAACAGGAGACCTGTTTTGGTTATTTTTGTAAAACTTCATATTTGCATGGCCGTAGTGCTGCAGCTGTGACCCATCTTAGACCCAGTGCTGGGTCCTTACTTACCAGTTGAAGCTCAGTGGGGCAACTCTCCAGGGTTTCGGGGTAGCCCTATTTGAGAAAGCAAAGCTTTTCTGCCTCTCACTTAACAGTAGATCCTGGGGGCATCCAAGGAAGCTGATTGAAGGCTTCAGAACAGATGAAAGAAAGCATCTCCTCGCACCGTGCATATTAAGCAGTGAAGCTCACTCCCACTGGAGGCAGTGATGGCCACCGAGTTGGATGACTTGGAAAGAGAATTAGACAAATTCATGGGGGAGAAGGGCTATCAGTTGCTGCTAGACGAGATGGCAGTGCTGTGCCTTCACAGCTGGAGGTAGTCATGCCTCTGAATATCAATTGCTGGAAACAGCAGGAGAGGAGGGTGTTCTTGTGCTTGGGCCCTGCTTAGTTTCCCACAGGCCATCCTGTGATCTCTTCCTAGCGGAAAATTGTTGCGGAACAGATTGCGCAGCCAAATCACCTGCAGACTGCTCATTGCAAAACAGTGTCGCACTGGCTTAAACCATCCAGTAGGCAGCCTTTTATTTTCAAGGCGGGGAGGGATTGCTCCTATCCATGTGACGCCTGGACTGCTGGTGCCGCCGCCACCACACCTGTTTCACTTCTACCACTTGTTTTGCCTCCTGCCTTGCAGCTTTCCAACCAGCACGGCAAGATGACCAGGACACCTTCCCTTCCTGTGCCCGACGACTCGTCTTCCAGGCAACAGGGCCATTTGGAGAAAGAACTGTCTGCGTCGCCCAAAAGGAACAGCCTCACAAGGACGCACAAGGAGAAAGGCGCTTTCCACCTGCTTGGCACGACGACGTCGAGCCAAGCCAACAAGGCAGCTGACGGACAGGGTCAGGTGCAGAACCGCCTCTTCGGCTTGGCCAAGCCAAAGGAGAAGAAGGAGAAGAAGAAGAAGGGCAAAGGGCACCGTTCTCAGCCAGCCGGTAAGCAAAGGGCTCTTTCTACCTGCTAAGAGGTCTTCATGTCTCTTGGAGCCAAGGGAGTTAAGACGCATGAGACCTCCTTCCACCAGCTTACCTGCAGTGGTTGCTGCTGCCCATTGAGACAGATAGGGCAGAAGGCTGGGAGGCTCAACTGTAGGTGGTGCCAGAGCCAATTAATTATAGCTTTGTCCCCATCTTCCTCGTCCCTGCTAAGTTGTACAAGGGCAACACTGAGACTTGAGGAGGAGGAAGCAAACAGCCATAGTTACCCCCTGAGCCGGTTGTAAGTAAGAAGGCAGACAAGTGGGGCGCTGGCTCTGGGCAGACTGAGGTTAGTGGGGCAGCGCCCCATTTGCCATAATGGACCAGCCCTCACACCTGGAAAGGAAACAACTATGTGGAGCAGGGAAGGAAGAGGCAGCAGCAGGCAAGCCCTGTTTGGACACTTAGAAGAAATAAGAAGTGGGGAAGGGGAAGAGGTGCCTTTTAAACGATGCAGGCAGTCTTCTCCAGGGTCCACTGGCGGAGGAAGAGGAGTGCGGGGGGAGCGCACCGCCCCCGGCAGAGCGATCCTGGCAGGGTGCCATTGCGGCTGTCCACCCCCCCCCCCCGTGCTGGGCACCACGCCCCCGCAGGCAGCATGCCCCACCCCCAAGACGCATGCCCCGCCCCTGTGGGTGGTGCACCACACCCCCAGGATGCGCCCTGCCCCTGCCTGCTCTCTGCCCCCTGGTGCCGGAGCATGAAGCTCCACAACTGCCAGGGTCATCTGATTCTCAGGGCCAGGATTTGGGTGCACCATGCCTCGATGTGAACTGCTTGCAGTTCTTTCCTCCGGTGCAGGCAGGAGAGGATTGGTTCCTCTGTAGCTCCTGACGTGCCGTGGAAAGGGAATCAGAAATCTGCCGCTACAACAGCCTGTCACTACTGCCTGCTTTGAAGGCACAGGTTTGTTGCCCAAGGAAAGATTCGTTGCGATACCCAGTGGTGGGGTTGAAAGCAGGTCAGGAGCACCTTCAAGGTTGCGTTTGGAATACAGTGGTGCCCCACAAGACGAATGCCTCGCAAGACGGAAAACCCGCTAGACGAAAGGGTTTTCTGTTTTGGAGGTGCTTCGCAAAACAAATTTCCTATGGGCTTGCTTTGCAAGACGGAAATGTCTTGCGAGTTCCTGCGGGGTTCCCCCCCCCCTTTTCCCAAGCCGCTAAGCCGCTTAACAGCTGATCCGCTAAGCCGCTTAACAGCTGATCCACTAAGCCGCTTATCAGCTGATCCGCTAAGCCGCTAATAGCGCTAATCCGCTAAGCCGCTAATAGCGCTAATCCGCTAAGCCGCTAATGGGCTTGCTTTGCAAGACGAGACTCGTGGAACGGATTCTTTTCGTCTTGCGAGGCACCACTGTATTTAATTTGGGCATTAAGGTCTTCACAGCTATGAGCAGGGAGAGCAGGAAACACGTGCCCCTTCTGCATGGTCCTGATGTCGTTTGCTTGTGATTTCCTTCCCTTATCCAGAGGCTCAGTCGCCAGAAGCAGCACCGGAGGGCGAGGAAATCTTCTGCTGACCCCACTGTTCCACCTCCTGCAAGGATGAGGCTGCCCCGTGCTGTGCCCTGCAGAGCGCTCCCCAGCACAGGGCAGATGCAGCAGCGACTCTTGTCTGCCTTGAACTGAATTGTCCTTGCAGCGCAAACCCACCTGCGTGCCTACAATTTGCAGCCTGCTCCCAACTTCAGGCTCTGCCCGTGTCCTGGATCCATGACCTTTTAAAAGGCAGCAGGGGAGGCAAAAGCTTCGGACTCTGCATGTGGCCAGACTGGGCGGGCTTGGTTTTGGCTGCACGTGTCTCTCTGAAAGGAAAAGGAAAGCATCCATTCTGTGTGCAATGCTGGCTGTTAAGACAGACACTCCCTGCTTCTGTTTTCATCTCCAAAGATTGGGGGGAAAGTGCATCCCAGGTGGCAGCTTGGCTGATCTTCTATTGGGGAAGTCCACCAAAAACCATCGCCCTCTATAGCAAAAGCATGGGGCTCTTTAATGCAATGTTTTCTACATTGCCATATATATAGATAGTACTGTATATATACTTATATATAAATATAAATATAGAAAATGTAGCTGTATATCCGTTGGGGTATGCTTTAATTCTGTACAGAAAAAAGCTGGCTGAGCTTAGCTCTTCCCTAAAGGTTTAGCTGAAACTGTTCAGGGACTGTGTTGATATCAAATATCTCTTTACTTGTTGGCACTCTGTTCTAGTGCTTCTTCCACTGGCAAAAACACCTTCTCCCCCAAAATATCCATCTGTGTGTTGGGGAATGGACGCAAGGCCACGTAGCGGCAAATTGGCCAACTCAGTTAGGAAGGTGGTTTCCCATTAGAGAGGCTCTGAGGACCTGTTTGCACACAGAGTAAGTTGTGCCGCAGGATCCACACACAGGTGCATTGTGGGAATACTGGAGGCACTTGGCTGGTTCACAGTTCCAGGGACAGTATCAGGCATCTTCTGCTTGATAGAAGCAAAAGTGTAAGAATGGATTTGAGCTGGCTAAGGCTACCAAGTCGGAAGGAAATATGAACGGGCAATCTTTGAAAATTGAGAGAGATGGAGTGTATGTTTTAGGGACAGGGAAGGGGAATCTGTGGCTCTTGAGACTCCAGTTCCCATCATCCCTGACTGCTGGCCATGCTGGCTGAGGCTGATGGGAGCTGTAGTCCAACAACTTCTTAAGAGCTACATGCACCCCCTTCCCTTCTTCAGAAGCCACTTCAGGAAAGCCGCAACAGGCCAATGTTTAAATCACAACTACTCTCAAGTCCCTTTTGAAATGAGCACAAGGGAAGGCCTGACTCCCTGGCCCAAGAACACCTCCTTTCCCAGCTCTCCCACCTCAGCCTTCAGTATTAATAGTAGTTTCAACTAGAAAGCCACTAATTCACCACAGAGATCACTGACTGCTTTTGCCCAAGAGATGGTTAGAGGCAAAAACCAACAGCAGCCCAAATTCTTATTTCTCTTCCCTTGGCTTTCTGCTTTTGGCTTTTCTCCAAATTTGCTGGTTCATCTCTTTGCTAGAAGTGCTACCTTCATAGCCATTTTGAAGGGTGTTCAACTGACGGCAACTTGGGTGGGAAATGAGCCATATAAGCAGAAGTGCAATGGCCTCTCATTTCCATGCATAGCAGAGTCCACTGTAACTTCTGAACATTCCTCATCTGGTAAGGGGAACTTGGCGGGTGAGTGAACGCTGTGGCCTTCCAATTGCAGTAGGACTCCAACTCCCATCAGCCCCCTGCCTGCACAGCCAAATGGTCAGGGATGATGGGAGTTGTAGTCAGACAACCGCTAGAGGGCCACAGTTTTGCCACCTTTAAGAATTGCAAAGTTCCACATCTGGCATCACAGGTTGCGTCAGTGCAGACCATCATTTTGAGGTGGAAGAGATAAATAATGCCCCTCCCAACTGATAAAATGGTTCCTTATAACATATGAAAATACTTGGATTTGTTTCTCGGACTTAGCACCATGTGATATGGGGGAAACTTTGACAATTCCCTTTGCAACTTGAATCCCGGGGGTTGGGGGTATTCATTCATGGCCAGTTTCCCAGCTTTTAAATGATTGGGTGGCTCAGCCTTTAGGAGGGTTTGGTGCATAGTTCTTCCTTCTTTTCTTTTTGGACTCCAGTTAATTCTTCTGGCCATGCACACTCCAGTGTTTGAGTCGCAGACTGAGCGTCCTTCACTCTGGCGGATACAAGCATAGCGAGTCAGGCCAGATCCAGTGACTTCTTGACTATTTGGCGTTGCTCCACCAGTCACACTTAATGGGTGCACCTGCTGATTCCTGTACAGGTGATGCTTTATCAGGTTCAGAAATGCATCCTGTGAGATTGGTGCTTTCTGTATGGAATCTCAGAAAGCTGTTTTTCCTTCTGCAAAGCAAGCGGTGACCCTGAGTGGGCGAAGAGATTAAACTGCATCCTTCATTGCACTGGGAGCAAGAAGGCAGCAGGGCAGAGAGGGATGCAGCCCCAGTGGAAAAAAATTTGGAGTTGGTGTGTGAAAGGACTTTCTCCCTAGCACCTTGTGCCAATGCAAAAAGAATTGTGGAACAAGCTGGCAAAGTAGTTCATTATGTGGTGATGCCAAGGGAAGATGAAAGGTCCCCTGTTATGATATTTTTTAATAATATAGACTCCCCAGAGATTACTCCTGTAGACTGGAGAAAAGGGCACAAATAGTGCCCTCTCTTGCCTTGCCTCTGCCCCGCCAAATCCCTGAAGCATTTTGAAAGCTTCCTTTTCCTAACACGTTTTCAGACTTATTTTTTAACGAAAGGTTTGCACTATTGTCCTGATGCCTTCTCCCTTTAGAGCGTCTCAGGATTTGTGTTGTTGTTTTTTCCATGCAAGAATCTTGCGCGGAAAAACAGAGAAAACTCCGTAACAAGCCTTCAGTGCTGGGACCGCGGCAGGTACGTCGGGTCTGTCTTGGCCAGCAATGGAGAACCTCCCTCAGCCTGGCTGAGTCTGAAAGCTCTCTAAGCAATTCACTCTCCAGAAGCGCAGCAGGAGGCAGCTGTGGAGGTCTACTTTTTATTATTGTTGTTACTTTAATTATTTTGTTGTTGTTGTTGCTTGTTCTCTTGACTGCAAGCTGGGCTTGCCATAAAAATAAATAAATCTTTCTGTTTGTTTGAAAGAGATCTGGATTTAAAAAGAAGAAGAGAGAAACGTTTACTGAGCTGTTTTGTCAAGCCCAAAGTGGGGTTTTTTTTTGCTTCTGTAAATATTAAATCGATAAATTAAAAAAAAAAATGACCTGTAGAGCATTGAATGCAATTGACCACTGCTAGGGAACAACCTCTAAAACCCAGTGTCCCTTCGCCACTTTTCAGAGATCTAAAGGCAGGTTGAAGGCAGATCACTTCTCACATTGGATATGCTCATCCCATTTTCGGTGCTGCTAAATGAGTTTTTGCAGGCTGGAGTAACTTTTTCCCCCTTAAGCTGTTTGTCCAGAGGTGGCAGTGAGAGAAAATGAGCATGTATAAGACACAGAAAGCAGAGCCTGCCCGGAACCACCTTCATTCCTCTCCAAAACTATTGTCTCCAACTTTATTTAATTATAGCAGACTAGCTGTTGCTGCTCAGCCTTCTCCCCTCCATCTCCTTCCCCATCCGCGCTTTACAATCCAGTTTTCATCAATGCAAAGGACCACGATCCACAGTGTCTATATAGTTTCCCCTTTAGCAGTGCAGCTCAGTTTTAAAGCTCAAGACGAATGGTTTAATCTAGTATTATTATTGTCCGTGGGTCGTTGCATGGATGCCGAGAGGCACCAGAGGCTGGGAGCAAAATGGAATGCCATTTCATGTGGTAACATTTTAGAAAAAGAAAAGAGAAGTTTCTAAAAGTCTGCTGCCATTGTTCTTTTTCTTCACACAGAGAGTCCGGTGTTACATACATGTAAAAAAAAAGGAGATATGCATTTGTGTATTTAAATAAAATCTGTAGGTGTTCAAAGGTTCCTTCTACTCAATTATTCTCTGGTTCAGCTTTCCTCAACCTGGTTCCTTCCAGTGGGTGTTGTTGTGACCCAAAAGCATCTCAAGGCCACCAGGTTGGGGAAAGCTGAATTATATATGGTTAAAATAAAGGTATGATAATTGCTTTCTGACAGTGAACGAGTATATTTGCATACCAGCCAGAAAAATGTATTATAATGATGTTGTCCACTCATTTGGACTCTCTCTCTCTCTCTCTCTCTCTCTCTCTCTCTCTCTCTCTCTCTCTCTCTCCCACCCGCCCCACTATCTAGGCTTGTATAAGGGTACCTGTTTCATATTTCTGGTTGAAAGTAATGTTTAAAAAACACACTTTAAAAATAGAAACACCAACAACCTAAACTGTGTAAAAAAACACCAACAACCTAAACTGCTATATGTTAATTTGTAATTATGTAAAAAGTAGGTTACTGATTGTAAAATTTTACAAAGCTCCCCCCCCCTTGTAATTTGCAAAAAAAGAAGAAGAAAAATCAGATTTTTGTAATAGCTTTTATTTATCTGCCTTCCTTATTAATTAATGAGAGCAATTTCTTGTAAAGTCGTTTCCCCCTCCCCTCTAAATAAATCTTGGTTTTAAGTCTGATGAATTTCTGCCTGCCTGCCTGCCTGCGTGTGTTTGTTTGTTCATGTCAAATCAAACTGCGTTGAATGGAAATTTTCAAAGCCCTTCCTTTGAACGCCTGGATTGGATACTTCATTTTCTTCCCATGCAGCAAAGGAAGAGAGGAAGGAAAATGTAAGTGCCCAGAGTGGTAGGGATGCCTTCATGAGGCTCTGGGTTAAGGAAGAAATAAAGAACATAACAAGAGGCCTGCTGGATGAGGCCCAAATGTCCATCTAGACCAGAATCTTGTCTTCACCGTGGCCAGGGGGGACGGGCTGTCATTGGCGGCCATTTTGTGCTGGCACCTACAGCGCCTTTATCAAAGAGTACGGGCACCTCATTTCTTGGCTGCTGTGGGAACGGGGGGCTGGATGAGATGGGCCTTGGGTGCGATGTAGTAGGGCTCTTCAGAAGTCCTTATGGACCACAACAACTCCCCACTGGAAGAGTGCTTTAGGCCATAGGAAACTGCCTTAGGTTCATCAGTGCATCTGGTTCTGGACTGCATCTGAATACCAGTCTCTGGGGATCACAAATGTGGGGTTTTTGCTCCTCTTGTTGGGTTTCCCAGAGGTTGGCTGCTGTGAGAATAGGCTGCTGGGCCTTTGATCTAAACCAGCAGGGCTTTCCTTATGCTGAGCTCTTGGCTCAGTTCCACTCTAATGCTTCACTCCTTTCCCTTGTACTGTGTGTGTGTGTGTTTGTGTGAGTAACCTGGGTGAACCCCTTGAGTTGGGTTTTAGAGGCCTCTTTTTGTCGATGGAAGGGAGCCAGTGGTGGAGCGCATCACCTTTGCCTGGGAGAGCCGAGGACACGAAAAATGCTGGCAGCGTGAAGACGGGATTAGTTCAAGAAGGCGGCTGTTGGGTTCGCTGGAAATGACAGCTGCTTTGGTTGTGACTGTGCCACAAGTTGCTCAACTTGGGATTCACGTGGCTGTTTCGCGAGGCAGTCAGTCCCTAGCTTTGCTTCTCTTAATGGACCCTGATGAAAGGGAAAAGATGAGCGTGGACAACGCCATCTTGTCCTCCGCTTTTCCTTGTAATTCTTACACAGCGTAGGACGTTTGATTTTAGAAACCCAGCGCACAGAGCAAACCTTGAAATCGATGAATTTGCAGCCCTTCTCCTCGCTGCTGCCTGGTAATGAGCTGGCAAAGATGGAGACTAATAGGCTTGGGCTATGAATTTTCACTGCTGGTAATACTCATCTTTTTATTACGAATCTCACTTTCACTCTGTAACTAATGAGACGCATTTGATGTCCTGATTTGGGGCCTCCACGGTCAGTATTCTTGGTGTTGCATAACATGCCAGCACTCTTAACTAACTAGTTTCCAGGATTATTTGCCAGGCCAGGGGTGGGGTGGTGGCAATGTCTATTGAAGTAGTCTCATTGTGTTTTCAGTGTACAGTGGTATCTCGGGTTAAGTACTTAATTCGTTCCGGAGGTCTGGTCTTAACCTGAAACTGTTCTTAACCTGAAGCACCGCTTTAGCTAATGGGGCCTCCTGCTGCTACCGCGCCGTCAGAGCCCGATTTCTGTTCTTATCCTGAAGCAAAGTTCTTAACCTGAAGCACTATTTCTGGGTTAGCGGAGTATGTAACCTGAAGCGTATGTAACCCGCGGTACCACTGTATGTTGCAAATGGGGCCTAGTACAGCAATGACCATCTCACGCTTCTGTGCATCATGGGAGATAAATCTGAGCAGGCTGATCTGACAGGACAAGATGACCATACTCTGCTACACTCATGTCCCAGGAACGATGCCAGAGATTGATCCCTCTTTTTAGTCAACTTGGATGCAGCGTCTTAACAGACGGGACTTGGGGCATGAGAAAGGGGTAAGCAGTTGACCCTGAAAGGCAGACAACCCATCATTGTTTACAAAATGCTCTTTGTTTTCAGCCTGGAGAATAAATCTGGGGCTGGGTATTAGCATGCAGCGTTTCTTTCCCCCTCCCCAAAGCATTAACCAAAATGTCCCTCAGGCTGAACCTTATTATTCAGCTATCGCAAAGGCTCTTTTGTGCCCCCCTCCTACTTAATCCCTTAGCAACAGACTGTGGGGGGCTACTCTTGCTTTTGCCAATCGCCTCTGAATTGGATTTTTGGGCCAACACCAGTCTAAAGATTAAAGAGGAACAAATAACTTCTCATTCTTTCGTCCTCCAAAGTGATCCAGTAACAACCCTCTTCCCCCAGCCTTCTCCCTCCCAGGGCCTTTCAAGGGAGAAGAGAAAAACTAGCTTTAAAAAACCCAAAATGTGAATCTGTTGTTTGTCTTTTGCAATGCACCCAAGTCTCCTTTTTGAATTGTTATTTTACCTGTGCAATTATCTGATTGTATATTTTAATTATGGATATTTGTAAACTGCTTGGGAGCCTATTTGAGCATTCAGTGACATATAAATAGATGTATTTATGTTGTGTGTTTTGTAAGATTATGAAAAACAAAACAAAACCCCAAACACATAGGTGCTTGCTTAAATTCTTTGCGGAAGAATGTTAATCTTTGCGTTCAGAATCTTGGAAATTAAATATGTTTGCATGTGTTTGAATTCCTTTGCATAATTTAAACTACCTCTTCAGATTTAGGGTGTTTCTTTTAAAAGAAGAATAATGCGTTTGTATAAAATAAATAATTACAAATAGAGGAGTGCAGAAGTAGCTCCATAGAAGAGGAACAGAGAGGGGATCCAAGAGATCCAGGAATCTTAGGTGATATAAATGGTCCCCCCCCCACTCTCCCAACCCCATGTTGTCCTCACAACTTTGTAAGGTAGGTGAAGCTGAGAGACGGCCCAGGTTTTCCCGGTAAACTTCAGAGCCGATTAAAGATTTGAACCCGGGTCCCTTTCCTACCCATCCTAGCCTAGCTACATGACACAGGCTCCCATCTTTGCAGCACAGGAGTGGGACACTTGAGTGATATTTGTAGGGGGTACCAATTACAAAATGGCTATTGTAGAGCAGGGGTAGACAACCTAAGGCCCGTGGGCCGGATGCGGCCCAATCGCCTTCTCAATCCAGCCTGCAGACGGACTGGGAACTAGCGTGTTTTTACACGAGTAGAATGTGTGCTTTTATTTAAAATGCATCTCTGGGTTATTTGTGGGGCATAGGAATTTGTTCATTATTATTTTTCAAAATATAGTCTGGCCCACCACATGGTGTGACGGTGGACTGGCCCATGGCTGAAAAAGTTTGCTGACCCCTGTTGTAGAGTGTGTGGCATAATATAAAAGGGAAACCACACCTAAAGGAGCAGACCAGAGGACGAAAGGGTGCAGTCGTCCCATCAATAGGAAAAAGGAGCTACCACCAAGCTCACTCACAGAGAAGCTGTGTATTTTTGAGGGTATATTTCATGGGTGCTGAAGGAGGTCCTGGCAGGGACAATGAGGCATTGTGGGCACTAGGGGAAGGCCTGTGCCCACAGAGGTTGCCTATGTACAAGGGCTTAACTCTAACCCTCCCAGGTTCTGCAGCAGAGCCTCAGTATTTGTCCCTCTTCCCACCCAACCTCGCTTTTGCCAGTGTTGCATTGCTTCGATTTCTACGGCGGTGTTTTGCAGGCTGTACCATACCAGGGAACAGTGTGTTTGTAATTACCACTTCGCTAGCCCTGTCATTATCCCTACATCAGGTGTACTTCAAAAAGAAGCAGCCCCGTCCAAAGCAGACAGCTTCCCAAAGAGCTTTTATTAAAATTGTCAGAACTCCTGGGGAACCATCAAAGTAGTACAAAGAAAGACGTGCTTCTTTTTTCCAAAACGACTCAACGCAAATCTAGCCCTTGCAGAGGTGCCTGTGCTTCATTCATGTGGTGCAGCCGAGAGACGAGTTTCTGAAGTCCTCAAAAGGCTTCCTTTGTCTGAAGAAAGATGCTGAGGCTTTTCAGTCCCTTCCCTTACTGGGCTCTCTTCCAAACCCAGCCGATGCCAACATGGCAGCCATGTGGCGCTGGCAAAGCTGCCGCCATCGAAGGATGTCCACAGTGCGTTGCTCCCTTTACCTTCGAGCGAACCAATATGATTTGCTCAGGTTCCCCATCCATCCATCCATCCGGTTACTTCTTGGAGCAGCCTGACATCCCTCCCCACACTGAGGCAGCGAGGAATGAGCCCTGTGGGAGGCAGTAGACAGCAAAGCCAGTAGCCACTTGTGCAGATTCCAGTATCACTACTGGCATACAAATTCAGTGTCGCTATCTGTGGGGAGAGAGGGAATAAAACATTAATATCCTGACCACACAACTACTTATATGCTCCCTTGAGTCCAAAGTATCTGGAGGACACCCGGATGGGGGAAGCCTCTTGTTTCCAGAAAGGCTTTTTGGACAATAAACTAGGAACCACCTCAGAGAAATGGACTGCCCAGTCCTCGTTCCCTCAGTCCGCCTCCCAGTTACCTACCAACAGCGGGACTATTTGCTTTCCTTCTCCCAGCTATCTGATTTCATGTGTCAGTGCAGCAGCTGGCGATTTGAGCACCAGCAAACCGAGCTGCCCTCTGCGAAGCAAAATGGCACCAGTCCAGAGCTTAGTCCTCCATCTTGTGTCCAGAGATTAGAACTGCATAGCAACTGAGTCCCGTCGCTAGGGTGGCCCCTTATGTATATCCAAAAGAAGTTGTCAGAAGACCACGGGGATTTGCATTAAATGTGCTCATTTTTTAGGCATGGACAAACCTTTGGAAATAATTACTCTAATACAAATGAAAATGCCCATTTAAGGAGGACTCTGATCAGGTGCCCTGTTGGCCAGCTCAGTCTGCTTTTCAGGTGCAAACTCTGGATGTGCAACCTAAAGGCCCCTGCTGCCTTCCCTTCTCAGGGGTTAATTTGGTGTTTTATTCTGGTTTTTTCTATTGGGAGCCTCCCAAAGTGGCTGGGGAAACCCAGCCGGATTGGGGGGGGGTTATAATTATTATTATTATTATTTCTCAGGGGTGGGTGACCTGTGGCCCTCCAGATGTTGATGGACTCCAGCTCCCATCAGCCCCAGCCAGCAGGGTAAAAACATCTGGAAGACCACAAATTTCGAAACACTGTTTCAGAAGTTACTGTGAGGCCTAACTTTTGTCGCAGCATTTAGATTTTCAGGTCTATGTTGCTTCAGGACTTGTATTTTACGTTTTTGGTTACCGGAACTTGCTAAGATTTTGATGACTGGACTCTTTGCTAGTGCTACTCTTTTTCATGTTTTTAATTATATGTCTTGCCATTTTACTTGTGTGTGTTGTGTCTGGGTTGTTTGCCGCCTTAAGCACAGGCAGAAGAGCTAAATGCAAGTTCAGTAAATTTTGCTTTTGTTAACAATGCCCCCCATCCATTTAGTTTGTTTAGTTCTAACAAACTAAAACTTCTCTTGTTCCAGTCAGCATAACTTCATTATGCACATGCTCAGAGTCACTGGGTGGAGGGGCCAGAATCTTTCAAATCAAAAAGCTGGCAACAAGCTGTTGATAGGAACTGTTTGAGTGACTTAGTAAGTTTGTGAAGGGTTGTGAGAAGACCCCTATTCCCTTCAAAGTATAATTCAGAGTGTGGTTTAACAACCAATTCCTCTTTCTGGGGAACCCTGGGAATTGTAAAGTGTGAGGCGAATGGGGGTGTGTGCCTCCTAAGCACTTGCACCACCCATGACAAACTACAGTTCCCAGGATACTTTGAGGGAAACCATGACTATTTAAAGTGGAAGGATACTGCTTTAAATGCACTGTGCAGATGGGGTTGAATGCTGTATATTCTGTGGCTTCTGCGGGGGATTGCATGCCCCTAGTCCTCATCAGACCATTAGGAGTTTATTTGGGGTTTTTAATGCCAACTAATATACAGTGGTGCCTCGCAAGACGAAATTAATTCGTTCCGCAAGTTTTTTCTTCTTGCGAGTTTTTCGTCTTGCGAAGCACGGTTTCCCATAGGAATGCATTGAAAATCAATTAATGCGTTCCTAGGGAAACCGCCTTCAGACCAGGTCCGGGGACAGTCTGTCCCCCGACCTCTTCTGAAGGCTGGGGGGGGGGGGACAAGGGCTTCTGAAGGCTGGGGGGGCTGGGGGGGAACAAGGGCTTCGCTGCCGACCCCCAGCATTTTAAAATCTCACCGGGACACGGGGAGATTTTAAAATGCTGGGGGTCAGCAGCGAACGCTTTGCTGATCCCGGGACGGCAGGCAGATCTGCACCGCCATCCAGAGCGGGGCGGGACTTAGCCCCGCTCGGGATGGCAGTCCCGGGACGGCAGACAGCTCTGCGCCGGCATCCAGAGCGGGGCGGGACTTAGCGCCCCGCTCGGGATGGCGGCACAGATCTGCCTGCAGTCCCGGGACGGCAGACAGCTCTGCGCTGGCATCCAGAGCAGGGCAGGACTTAGCGCCCCGCTCGGGATGGCGGCACAGATCTGCCTGCAGTCCCGGGACTGCAGGCAGCTTTGCGCGGCCATCTGTAGCGGGGCGGGCTTCGCCCCCGGCTCCCGATGGCCGCGCAGAGCTGCGCTGATCCCGGGATGGCAGACAGCTCTGCGCCGCCATCCCGAGCGGGGCGGGACTTAGCGCCCCGCTCGGGATGGTGGCGCAGATCTGCCTGCAGTCCCGGGACTGCAGGCAGCTTTGCGCGGCCATCTGGAGCGGGGCGGGCTTCGCCCCGGCTCCCGATGGCCGCGCAGAGCTGCGCTGATCCCGGGACGGCAGACAGCTCTGCGCCGCCATCCCGAGCGGGGCGGGACTTAGCGCCCCGCTCGGGATGGTGGCGCAGATCTGCCTGCAGTCCCGGGACGGCAGACAGCTCTGCGCTGGCATCCAGAGCGGGGCGGGACTTAGCGCCCCGCTCGGGATGGTGGCGCAGATCTGCCTGCAGTCCCGGGACTGCAGGCAGCTTTGCGCGGCCATCTGTAGAGGGGCGGGCTTCGCCCCCGGCTCCCGATGGCCGCGCAGAGCTGCGCTGATCCCGGGATGGCAGACAGCTCTGCGCCGCCATCCCGAGCGGGGCGGGACTTAGCGCCCCGCTCGGGATGGTGGCGCAGATCTGCCTGCAGTCCCGGGACGGCAGACAGCTCTGCGCTGGCATCCAGAGCGGGGCGGGACTTAGCGCCCCGCTCGGGATGGTGGCGCAGATCTGCCTGCAGTCCCGGGACTGCAGGCAGCTTTGCGCGGCCATCTGTAGCGGGGCGGGCTTCGCCCCCGGCTCCCGATGGCCGCGCAGAGCTGCGCTGATCCCGGCACGGCAGACAGCTCTGCGCCGCCATCCCGAGCGGGGCGGGACTTCTCTGCTGTCCCGGGGAGATTTTAAAATGCTGGGGGTCGGCAGCGAACGCTTCGCTCCCGCCCGCCAGCATTTTAAGATCGCCCGGGGCAGCGGAGAAGTCTCCGCTGTCCCGGGAAGGCAGGCGGGGGGGAGCAAAGACTTTTGCCCCCCGCCGGCCTTCAGAAGAGGTCCAGGACCTCTTCTGAAGGCCGGCTGTGGGCGAAAGTCTTTGCTCCCGACCGCCAGCAATTTAAAACAGGTCCCCGGAGATTTCCCTATGGGCTTTCGTCTTGCGAAGCAAGCCCATAGGGAAATTCGTCTTGCGAAGCGCCTCCGAAACAGAAAACCCTTTCGTCTTGCGGGTTTTCCGTCTTGCGAGGCATTCGTCTTGCGGGGTACCACTGTATCTTCTCTCCTGCCAACCTAGCAGTTTGAAAGCACGTCAAAGTGCAAGTAGATAAATAGGTACCGCTCCAGCGGGAAGGTAAACGGCGTTTCCGTACGCTGCTCTGGTTCGCCAGAAGTGGCTTAGTCATGCTGGCCACGTGACCCGGAAGCTGTACGCCGGCTCCCTTGGCCAATAAAGCGAGATGAGCACCGCAACCCCAGAGTCGGCCACGACTGGACCTAATGGTCAGAGGTCTCTTTACCTTTACCTAATATATCTTCTGCATACCTGGAGAGTTCCCTGGCACATTCAGAAACCCCTACCCATGATGCTTGGCACAGGAGCATCGTGTTAGGAACGAGTGGGGTTGCCTTTTTTCCCTTATTGCTGTGTAAGAGTGCTCTGTGCTGGTGCTTGTGCCGTACCTTATGATTTCAATCCAGGCTTGGCTAGAGCTTGGTTTGCACAACACCTTGTTTCCAAAAGGCAGCCACTCCCACCCAGCTTGGCTTGATAAACAGGCTCTGGAGACAACCATCTGCTCAGCAGAACCAGCCCGTTTTCTGTAGCCAGTCTTCTCCCACCCAGGTTACAGAGGACAATCCAGTTAATTCCTCCTTGCGAGGCAATGCACCTCAAGCCCAACAACGTGGATTTGCAGCAGCTGAGGAATGTTGAGGTGACGATTGGCTGAACTGCTCTGATGTCAGAGGAGGACGGGGCTCTAGATTTTGTTGGCGGAACTGCTCTAAAACTAAAGGCCCTTTGGCCCTTTGGCTCTTTGTTGGATGAGCTTGTGTAGAAGCTACCAAGGAGCAGAGCAGGTGAGGAAGGGTAGGAAAGGAGGTGTCTGGAAAAGGAAGAGGATGCAAGACAAAGGGAGCCTAAAATGGATGGAAAGGGAAAGGAAATCTGGGATGCTGAGAGCTGTCAGTCACACGCATTGAAGTCCCTGACAGCCAAAGAACTGAGTAACACAATATCCCCCTCCATCTAGGTGAGGATTGCTGGAGGCTCTCAATGGGGACTAGTTGGGGAAGGGCTGTAGCTCAGTGGTAGAGCTTCTGCTTTGCGTGCACAGGGTCCCAGGTTCAATCCCCAGCATCTCCAGGTAAGACTGGGAATGTTCCCGGCCTGAAACCCTGGAGAGTTTCCTCTGTCAGATGCAGTATGCTTTGGCAAACCAGGATACCTGAAGGAGCATCTCCACCCCCGTCGTTCAGCCCAGACACTGAGGTCCAGCGCCAAGGGCCTTCTGGCGGCTCCCTCCCTGTGAGGAGCAAAGTTACAAGGAACCAGGCAGAGGGCCTTCTTGGTAGTGGCACCCACCCTGTGGAATGCCCTCCCAGCAGATGGCAAGGAAATAAACAACTATCTGACTTTTAGAAGACATCTAAAGGCAGCGCTTTTCAGGAAAGTTTTTAATGTTTGATGAATTATTGTATTTTAATATTTTGCTGGAAGCCGCCCAGAGTGGCTGGGGAAACCCAGCCAGATGGGTGGGGTATAAATTATCATCATCATCATCCCCATCATTATTTTATTATTATAACTGCAGGAAACCACAAGTGGTCAGAGTCCTGCTTCCATGCTTCCCATAAGCATCTTGCTGGCCACTGTGAGAACAGGATGTTGGGCTGGATAAACTTTTGGTTTGATCCAGCTGGGCTTCTCATGCAGGGAATGGAATTAGATAAGACACAAGTTGGTACATTAAGCAGGTTGCTTGCTTTTACAGCCCCAGAGGAGAAAAACAAGATTTCCACAAATGGAGGGAGGGAGGGAGGAAGCAGGTGAGTTGCGTGGTTGGATCTTGTGCAGATCCAAATGCAGAAATGTGCCAAATGAACTGGAAATGCCAGAGTACCTCACTTGCCAAGCAGTCAGCTTCTTGCAGAGTTTTACGGCTGGCAGCTTTTCATAGCAGATGAGTCACGGGGAGCCGTCTATAATTAATTACTCGTGGTGTTTGAACTCCCCGAGGCCCATGGGTTGCTTAACTGTAAATGGGTTGATTGGCAAAGGAGCCAGAAGTTCAGCACCACATCCTCACTCTTCTTCCAAGCTAGGCCAACAAAATCGTACTAGTTTGGCAACTGGTAGTCGAGTCCAACCTTTGCTAACCTGGTGCCTTCCAGATATTTTAGCCTGCAACTCCCATCCGCTCCCACCGACTGGAATTGTGGTCACCTGCAAAACATGTGGAGGGCACCAGGTTGGGGAACACTCATTTAGGCTGTGGTTTTTACATAGTAAAACAACAAGCGAAAAGGAGAGTTTTATTGTAATTATTATTATTATTATTTATTTATTTATTTATACCCTGCCCATCTGGCTGAGTTTCCCCAGCCACTCTGGGCGGCTCCCAATCGAGTGTTAAAAACAATACAGCATTAAATATATGTAAATGGAAGAGGTGGTTGGAGATAATCATGTGAGCATCGAGGACAGCAGTGGGATGGTGAGCCAATATAACCTGAAATCCATTTTTATGGAGCACTAGCAGCCAGTTTACAGCACAGAAATCTAGGACAACGTGCTGTGTTTGGAAAGCATTTACTTTCACAATGTTAATCAGAGTTAATCCGCAGAATTACTGCCTGCGTAATAAATTAGTGTCACAGGACGTTCTGGTCAGCAAACGAGAATTCATTCTGAAATATGATCTAATGCGATTAACACCAGGGAAAGGCAATCCAGGTCACATTCCTCCTTTATAGCCAACATTATTACATATATACATTACAGGGGCAATGCTTCAATTTGTCGATATCATCATAGATTATTCCAGCCTCTTTTTATTTTGTTTTAAATCACTTCTAAAGAAGAGAGAGGACTGGCTTCTGGGGGTACATGCAGCAGCTCTTGGAGGACAAAAGGTAGGAGAAGTTGAACGGATGAATGCTTGCTGGTACTACAAGGAACCCAAGCCCTTAGGAAGCCAATTTGTCAGGGAGAATGCCAGTTAAGGCAGAAGTTTGAAAACTCTAATCTGTCCCCACCACAGCTTTCTGCAGAGTTCAGCAAGAACTTCCAGCAGGGAGCTTGCTGCTCATCTCTGGCTCAGATTTATAAACCTCCAAGTAAGATCTTGAAAGGTTAGGACAACCTTCCCAGCCTGGTGACATCCAGATGTTTTCAACGATGACTCCCATCAGCTCCTGGCCAGGTCTGATGAGAGTCGTAGTCTGAAAACCGGTGGAGGTCCCTTTATTGAGAAAGTGTGATTTAAGAGTTGCATATCTTTTCACAACAACGTTTTGCTTTGAAATGGAGGCCCTCTCCTTTGCAAAAAAAAGGCGGAGGCATCCTATCTGACTCTGCCAATATCATTCCTGCCCCAGTACTAATTGCAGGGGACAAGCTCTGTTCGTGAAAACATACTGGGGAAGGAAGAGAACCTGGGCCCTTCCTGTCTTGCTAGACTGCAACTCCATCATGGATGAACGCTGACTACACTCGCTGGGGCTGATGGGAGTTGGTGTCAAGCAACATTTAAAGGGCCAAAGGTATGTGTGTGCATGTATATACATGTAAACGGTAAAGAAACAGAAGTGTATATTTCAGCAAACACTTCATCACTGTTTTTCCAGCTGTTTCAACTTTGATTTTTCACTGCTTTTTGGCACAGGTTTTGCTGCTAAACTACAGAGCACATTGGGGGCACAACAGTTTTGCTTACAAAAAGCCCAAGAACCTGTTTGTCAGCAGAGGTAGCCTGAAATCCCCAGTAAAATCTGGCCCAAACATTTAAGGTGTAAAACTATGTCATTCTCAACCCCGTTTAGGGCAGAGTATCCCCTTGAAGGTGGCTTGAAAACCTTGGTATTTTGCTGTTCAGGAGACTTCCCATTCTGGGACCTGATGTTATTGAGGGACAGTGCAGGGGCAAAAGGAAAGGATAATTACAAACTAATATGTATTGGTATGTGAGTGCATTTTGTGACAACTTATACCCAGCTGAAACAGCTTTCCTGGTGGAAACCTCTTTCTGTTAAAAATGGTGAAAGCTTGGGTCTTTTTCTTCTGGGGAAGAAAACCACCAGCCATTATCCTCAGCACTGGCTGCTGCTGATACAAGCATCCTGGCCCTTTGCTACGTGGGACGCAGCTGCGTGGCAGGCCCATAAAATTAATCTCCGGCGAGAAAGCAGCTCTTAAGGGGAAGCCCTGTAACCCGAGCTGGAGAAAAGATGGACTCAATGCGTTCTGCAGCAGTATTTAATAGCTAAGCGGCAGTTAATTAGATGCTGAAGTGGCTGTGTCAGTTGTCAGGAGGGGAGGGAGTGGGAAGGGGCATCAGCAATGGGGTGTGAAAGGACTGGAGGCTGGACCTGGGGGAAACACAGGTCAGTCCCATAGCAGCAGCAGCAAGCAGCTGCTTCATGGCAGAGCAGACCTCTTCTTTCTGTGTTAGAACCCCAAAGAGGACAGCAAGCTTAACCAGGCCTTCTCAAGCTCATTGATGTGGTTGATTCATATGGCAAAAGACAGTCCTTGATGGAAGGCAGTTCTGGTCTATTTAAGGCTTTGTAAGTCAAAATGAGCACTTTGAATTGGGCCCAGGTACCACTTGGCAGCCAGTGCAGCTGGGCCAGGACTCGTGTCCTATGCTCAAAACATCTTGCCTCGGTGAGTAACCCGGCTGCTGAATTCTGAACCAGCTGAAGTTTATGAACCATCTTCAGTAGCAACCTAAAATGTAATGTGTTGCAGTAATCTGGGAAAGAAACCATGTTTTGAACGCGTTATAAACATGCAACACTAGATGGTACAGGAGGGTTAAAAAAAAAAAATCTACACAACTTTCCATAGCGTTTTTCTTTTCTTTTGTTATAACGATTTAATTTCTGACTTATTTACAGCAGGGTTTTCCCCTGTGTGCAGACTCAGCCCTAGATGTTACCAGACGACAGAAGCTAGGCTATCCCTGTCCAGATAGGTAGGTGTGCCGCTGGGCTACCAGCCAAAGCTGATGGAAAGTGCTCTGTGCCAACGAGCCAACTGAACCTCAAGCCACAGCAAAGAAATGTAACCCCCTCAAGAGCTGGCAATCACTAGGGCATTTCTGCTTGGAATGCTTTCAGCACAGTTCCCATCCACCAGACAAAAAAGTCTCTACAGTGGTACCTCGGGTTAAATACTTAATTCGTTCCAGAGGTCTGTTCTTAACCTGAAACTGTTCTTAACCTGAAGCACCACTTTAGCTAATGGGGCCTCCTGCTGCCGCCGCACTGCTGGAGCACGATTTCTGTTCTCATCCTGAAGCAAAGTTCTTAACCCGAGGTACTATTTATGGGTTAGTGGAGTCTGTAACCTGAAGTGTATGTAACCTGAAGTGTATGTAACCCGAGGTACCACTGTATTTGTTGCTTTTATAAACTCACCCTAGAAAAGTTGAAGGCCTGTATAATTTTTCTTAAAACAAAACTCATAAATAAATAAATGTTTGTCATGGTACCAGAGCAAAGACGCCATCAAAATACACACCTTTGCAGGGTTGTCACATCTTTTATATTTGTTAAGCTTCTGGGGTTCCTGTCTAGAAGTCCATGCAAAAGAGGAATCTGCAGGCATCAGCAGAAACTTCCGTTAAGATACCTTACCTCCTCAAGCTCCTCAGCTCTCTCCTGCAGACTGTGTGCCTCAAGCCGGTAAGTGTTTCCAAGTGCTAACAAACGCTGTTGGGATGAGAGAGTAAGGCACAGTGGTAATGCAGTTCCAGGTGTCCGAAGTCGGGTCATAACAATCCAGCGTCTTGCACCTCTGGGTCCCAAAGTAGCCACCCACCACATAAAGCTTGTTCCCAGAGGCCAAAGCGTGGCAGGACATCCGCTTGGCCGTCATGTCCCCAATCCGTGTCCACTGGTCCGTTTCGCAGTCAAAGCGGTAGGCGGAGGCCGCTGTGTATTCCGTGTCTCCACCCATAATAAAGATCTGGCTACCCAGGACGGCGCCCGCCGTGTAGCGCCAGGGCTGGGGGCACTGGGCTTTGATGGTCCACCGGTTCTCCACCGGGTCGTAGCACTGGACTTTGGACACCATGTCGCGGTGTATGCTGGTCCCACCAAAGACATAGAGCTTCAGCCTTGCACTGACGACGGCCGCGTTGCTGACGCCGTCCCTCAGAGGGGCCACCATGGTCCATTTGTTGGCGAGAGGGTCGTACTTCTCCACCTGCTTCAGCGAAACAGAAGGAGAGGCTGGGAAGACCCCGGCCACCGCGGTGTGTCCGCCGACGACATAGAGGCAGTTTTCCAGTTCGGCCGACCCATGTCCAAACCGAGCGATAAGCATTGGGGCAGCTTTGGACCACTCCTCATTCACTGTGTCGTAGACCCAGACATCCTTGGAGACCCCATTTTCGGAGCCCCTGCCTCCAGTGATGTAGACTTTGCAGCCAATGGCGCAGGCGCTGAACTCTTTTCGAGGGCTGGGGAGGTCGGCTTTGGGGATGATCTCTTTCGCCTTGTGGTCTACTTGGTAAACCTTGTCACACATAAACGTCTGGCCCCCTAAGATGAGCAAAGTGTGCCCAGCCTTCCGAGGCCTGGCACAGGGGCTGGTGACCACCCCATCATTCTGCAAGATCTTCTTTTTGCACCAAAGAGCTTCATCCATGATTTGCTTGTTCTGGTCTTCCGCCGTGATCAGCTCCTCGTAGGTCATGGCTTCCTTCAGGCACTCGGAAGGCAGCAAGGCCAGTCGCACGTGCTTCAACATCTCTGGGAGGAAAGACTTCCTCTTGTCCAAGTCATGTTTCACCCACTGCATGACTGCCTTGAAGACCTTCTCCTCATCCTCAATTTCCAGCTCGTCACTGGAAATCAAGTCCAGCAGGGTGTCCTTGGAGAGGTTATTGAAATCTTCGTTTCTGTGGACTGTCTCAAAGTTGACCAAGCACATCCTCCAAGAAAGCTCATAGAGCCTCTTGCACTGGTGAGCATCTGAAAGGACCATCATGCCCAGACAGTTGGAAGGGTGCAGGTTCTTCTCAAGGAACTCAGCAGCTGCATCCCTGATGTCCTGGAACTGCAACATGTCACCAGCTTCTAGGAGGGACTCTGCATTCTCTTCGTTGATTATGATCTTGGAGGAGTAAGCATAGTCCAACAGCAGCTCCAACACCTCTGGGTGCAGGCTATCATCAAAATTCACCTTGTCACCCAAGCTCTCGCGAAGGCCGTTGCTAAACATGGCTTCGAAGTACCTGCTGGCAGCAGCAAGCACAGCCCGGTGGCATGGAAAGGACTTATTCCCGGCCCAGAGGGTGACATCAGTGAACTTGCAGTGTTTCCTCATGGTGTTGAGGTGAGACAGGACACAGTCTGGATGGGAGGCTTTGTGGAACAGCAAGATGTTCATTGAACCAGTGCTTGTTCGGGATTTGCGGTTTTCATGGACGCTGACTGACATGACTACTGGACTGCTATCTGTAAGAAAATGAACATAGAAATTCTGAGTTTCAGAGGAATGAACAGGTTGGCACCTGCTGCTTTTTCTCACCTGAGATCAGCAATGCAGGCCCACTGCTACAAAAACCAAGAATCATGGAGCATGGGCTATCAAGACCCAATGTGGCAGAGTGCTTAGAAAGTTCAACTAACAGTAGGGAGACCCAGTTTCAAGCCCATCCTCAGCTGGAAAATTCAGCAGACAACATTGTACTAGTCACAGTGTCTAGTCTGCCTCACAAAGTTGTTGTGAGGATAAAGGGGGTGGGGGACACACATTTTGTACGCTACCAAGAGCCATTCAAGAAAATGAGCCAGAAACATGTATTGCATATTGCCCCAAACAGTTAAATGCAACGTTTTGTTTCCGTGGAAGTATGCCTACAGTTATGAGGCGCTGAGGGTGAGCACCTAGGAGAATGACTAAATCCATCTCCAACAGTCAAAATAAATAAAAAAATTAAAAACTTGTCCAGCAGCACCTTAGAGACCAACTAAGTTTGTTCTGGGTATAAGTTTTTTGTGTGCACGCACACTTCTTCAGATCCAACAGTGACATCAATGAAAAGCAGCTATCTACATCATGAACAAGAGCCGAATAAAAATCTGCATTGGGGTCTGCTGCCCCTGTGAATCCTGCCACCTGAGGCGGTTGCCTCATGGGTAGGCCAGCCCTGGTTGGGGCCTTAAATCCAGCTGAACTAGGAATAAGCTTCTGAGTTGGAGATCCAGTGCAGCCTAAACTGCTTATCTCAGTAGATCTCGTCATAGGATTGCCCCGTTCGGCTAGTTATTTACTCTCTAAACCTCAATCCCCCCCATCTGCAATATGGGGGATCACAATACTGCAATTAACAGAGTTGCTGCAAAGATTCCAACTAGGAAACGACTGGAATACTCGAGAGTGTTTCAAATAAAGGTTTATTATAAATCATCCTTGCTATTAAATTTATTGTTATTTTTTGCACTTTATTATATTCTTGATTTTAATTCTACTCTGATTTCCAGCAGTTAATAAATCAGAGACTGCACCCTTTTGACATGTGCTCGGCTCAGTTTTGCAATCCAAACACTGAAAAATCCTGTTAACATCATTTTCTCAATTCTAACTGTACATGAACCGTGGGGTGTCAGGAGGGATTCATTTCGCAAGCAATCATTCTTTTCCCCCCAAAACAAATATGAAAATGAATGAAAATTTCACACCATTCTCCCACTGGACATTGAAGAAAAATAAATCTATACTCTGCATGCAGACAGGCGTTCGTAAGCCTGGTCAAGGGAACAGTATTTTCAGAGAAAAGGGCGCTGGGCTGCTCTTGGCTTAGCCTGGGTCATGCTGGCTTTGAGTGCAAGAAGAAATTGCTGCAATTTGCAGGCAGGCTGTTTGGCTTCTTTATAAAATAGGTGGCTATTAGCAGGGTGCAGAGATTCGAGCCTGTGTTTCTGCACAGTCTTGTGCTCCCAATTCTGCCAGACTCATTTGCTTTGCAAAAAACAGGTTTAAGCTCCCATCAGGGAATTGGGTAGGCCTACCTGTCTACCAACTGGTTTAAAACAAAACAAATAACTCCCAAAGCCGCCCGCCCAACTAGATGGTTATTTAGAGTGTTTTTGTATGGATATGACAGTCTTGCATCTCTTGGCAAGCTACACCCATAGCATAACAATCTTCAGGCTAACGCAACATGATTTAATGGAACCCCATGAACAGCTGGCAAATCGACAGCTACATCTCTTGAAGCTACTCCACCGAAATTGTCCTCCACCTAGAAAGCAACCATAGCAAGGTCGCAAGGTTATTGCGTTTTCACCTCACTCTATCTCCAAGAAACTGAAGGTGGTGCACACATGGAAATATAGGAAGCTGTATTCTGAATTAAGACCATGAGTCCAGCTAGCTCAGTAGAGCCTTCATTGACCTACAGCTGCTCTCTAGGAATTCAGGCAGGGAGACTTTCCCAGACCTACCTGGAGATTGAACGTGGGGCCTTCCACATGCAGGGCAGACACTACCACAGAGCCTATATCCCTTCCCCAAAAGAAAGTCCCCTCACACACACCCCATAATCCTTGCAACAACCTTGTGAGGTAGGGCAGGCTCAGAAATAGTGTCTGTCCCAAGGTCACCAGGTTAGTTTCCATGGTTGACGAGGGGTTTGTGTGTCATGGTCTTTGGCCAGAACAATAAACTTATGAACTAGGACAGATGAGGGATTTGAAGCTGGGTTTCTTCAATACTCCCAGTCACTACGTAACACAGGTTCAGCCTCTGAAAGCTCCACCTAAAATATTTCAGACAGTAAGGCTTGGAGAGATGTTTTTTTTTTAGTATGCATCTTTTATTTTCTATTTTAGTATGCTTTAGTGACCTATGTGTAGAAAATCGGGGTACAAATAATTCTTTGGGGGAAGCCATGACTTTCTAAGCAGGGACGAGTGGTGCTGTGGTCTAAACCACTGGGCCTAGGGCTTGCCGAGCGGAAGGTAGGTGGTTCGAATCCCTGCGATGGGGTGAGCTCCTGTTGTTCAGTCCCAGCTCCCACCAACCTTGCAGTTTGAAAGCACGTCAAAGTGCAAGTAGATAAATAGGTAGCGCTTTGGCGGGAAGGTAAACAGCGTTTCCGTGCGCTGCTCTGGTTTTGCCAGAAGTGGCTTAGTCATGCTGGCCACATGACCCAGAAAAACCATCTGCAGTCAAACGTCGCCTCTCTTGGCCAGTAAAGTGAGATGAGCGCCGCAACCCCAGAGTTGTTTGCAACTGGACTTAACTGTCAGGGGTCCTTTACCTTTTTTTAAATGACTCTCTAAAGTAGCATAGTAGCACTCAGTGCCGGATTTACGTATAAGCTAAACAAGGTATAGCTTAGGGCCCCACTCTCTTGGGGGCCCCCAAAATATTAAAGGGGGAAAAACTGGATGTACATTTCCAAAATATAAGATTAAAAACAAATAAAATAAAACCTATATACAGCAAGTGTTTTGTGTTGTGTAGGCTCCTATGATGTACTGTAAGTAATGGGCCCTGCCTGCTAGCCTGCTCCCTAAAATATCACTGGTTTCAGTTCAACAATTACTTTCATAAAATACACATTTTGTTATGTGCAAATGGGTTTAGATACCTATTAGGTCCATAAATTACCATATAGCATATATTCAACACAAAAAAGTGACGATCTGTTGTTGACAAAGGACAGCTGGACATATAAAGGGCCCCATTACCTTCAGTAGCTTAGGGCCTCATCAAACCTAAATCTGGCCCTGGCAGCGCTTAAATGTATGGTATGAATGCAGCCCAGCTCAACGCTGCTCATATCTCCTCTATGGAGATATGACAAATTGCAACTAGAGTCAGCTGACCATGCTCCCCGCCCTCCAGGGCTTGACAAACCCTTTTGAACTCAGCCTGCAGAAATAATATTTTTTTTCTTTAAAGGCGGCAGTGCTGGGGAGTGTTTTCAGCCACAACACATTGCCAGCAGGCTGTGCTCAGTTGGTGGGTCACGAATTGCGCAGGCCCACCTGGTGGTCATTGGCTCCTGGCAAGCCAGGCCTCTCACCTGCTGTTCTGAGGTGACTCATCTGGATTCCAGACATCTTTCCACTTGCTACAACAAGGCCTTGCCAAGAGTTATTTACCCACACAAAGAATCCATCCCCAATTTGGGTTTGTTTTGCTGCAAATTGCCCACATTGCTCACTCCCGCTGACTAGGATCTAGCTCGAGGGAACAGCCTATTTTATTTTATTTTTGGCCACACATGCAAGAAATAAAGAGGAAAATTACAAAGCTAAAATCCCAGAATAATAATTGAGGGGTGGTTTCCCCTCCCTTTCCCCCCCTCGCCTTCCTGGTACACATTCCCAGATCATAGGTAAAGAGACTGGTGGTTTCAATTATAATGTTTCTGGGAATGGAAAGAGACTCAAATCCCTGGGGAAGATACTTGAGGGGGGCAGGTCACTGGTGTGGGGCATAAATGGGGAGATTTCTGGACATTTCCCCAGAACAACATTCGACAGAAATGCATTGTTTCAGTAAAACTGGCAGCGTAATGAAAAAAGGCAAGATAAAAAAAGGACAACTGGAAGGAATATAATGCCCATCAAATCTAACTTGCTTTTATTTTAGGTCAATACAGTATTCCTAGGAAACATGCAGTTTTTGTTTGCAGTGCCTTCACCCCACCCCCCACAGCAAATATAAATAATGTAAGGGAAGTGTTTGCTATAGAGGTCAAATACCTTAAAATATTTACAAGTAAAGCTTTGGATTTTTTTTGCTTATAAAATTTAAACTGCATGCATCATGCTTTATTGAATTTCCCACCACCAATTAAATATTTCAATTCAGCTCCTTCTCTAGCTATCGGGAGAGTTTTCCAGATACACAAGGGAAAAAAGAAGCATTGCGTAAGTATTCCTTTCCTCCTCACCTAGAAGTAACTTTCACTCCTTTACAGGTGACCAGCTGAGTGCTATTTGAACAAGCCTGGCTCTATGTGCAATGTACATTATTGCAAAGCGCTTCTGGCAGGACTCTATTGGCAAGATTGAGATTACCGTTGCTACAGAGATAATCAAGCCCACCAGAGCTCTTGCTTCTGCTATTGAAGGGCTGGTTCTGGGGATAACCAAGAGTCATCACGAAGACATCAATTCTGAATTAAAAGTTTGGGGCTTAGCCCAAGATTTGATGGATGTGCGCAGATGCGAGAGGTTTTAGCATCACCAAAGCAGCAACAAATGAAATATGTATGAATCTACTCAAAGGCATCAATTTAGGCATCTGCCTCCTCAGGCAGCCACACAACCCAGTAAATACCTAGGCTTGTGCAGAGAAGTGAGTTAACCAACACTTTCATTTTTCCCAGCATGCAAAAGCACCCACTTAAAGCTTTCACTTTCCTGTGCTGATCCCTGAAGGCTCGGAGGATTTGAAACAATTTAAAAGAAAACACACTGTTAAACTTTGCAGA